GTGTAGATCATGAGTTGGTAGAGTTCGTGCCCGTCAACGAATAAGAGTACGAGGAAGTCATCGAGGAGTACGAGGAGGAGATCCTCGTGTAGGAGAGAGCCCCAGAGCCTTTTGGTGCTGACTTTGCTGACCCGTCGCCTGCCCAAGGCAAGCCCCGGAGCATAACCCCTATTTTATGATCATTGAATATATATATATGATGTGCATTTAAGTTACAAGCATTTTATGGAAACTACATGCATAAATATATCTATCCATGAGTCATACTAGTAAAGGTCGAGTAGTTGCTATGCTCAGGATATCGGTAGTGTGAGTAACCTGCCGTTACTCACAAATAAGTGATAAATATGATCACTCATGATAAAATGGTGGAAAGGAAAAATGGTGACCGAGCAGGGATATGATTTGGGTACTGGTGGATGTAAGGGGTTGTGTCCTACGGCCAACAGGGCATAGCTCAGTTACACTTTTTACCTGTTTGTGTAAATTAAGGACCGATCGTTGCCTAAGTCTCGAGGCAAGTCACAGATCTATTATCCCAAGCACATACTTGGGTTTGAGCGTAGGGAAGACTCGTTGCTCTCTTGTTGTGGATCCGACTCTTTTCGGACCGACTGATTAGAGGTGGAGATGATGGAGGTTCTTGCACCGCACTGAGTCCGGAACTTAGGAGTGGGGGCTTGGAGTCCAAGTTTGGACGAAGACCTAGACACCCAGGACAGGAGGGTGATGGGTTAGTCCTACTTGTGCCTAGGGTACAAGTGGGGCATGTGTTTTCGGGGTACCCAGCTGGGGGCATTGATTCGCGAATCGCCGGGCAATCCGGTACGATTTGTTTTTGGGTCTAGCACCGTAGTAAGAACTGAAACATGGAAGATGATGAAATGGAACTGAATGCTCAACTCTTGCTTGAAAGTAGAATAGGTGCTTATATAAACTGGATAGATAATAACTTAATACGGCTGATAATAATAACATAACTAAGGACTCACTATTAGTATTGCTTTCTGCTAAAAGAAAACCAGCAAACCATAAAGCCCCTCATATTCCTTGGAGTCGGGAAATTATTTCTACTAGTCGGATAAGTCTTGCTAGTACATTATGTACTCAGGGTTTATTTACCCATGTTGCAGGTGATGCATGAGAAGTACCTTTGTGTGGAGGATTCTTCTGGTGTGCTCAGACGGATCCTCATTCTTATCGCTAGATGTTTATTTTAAATTCCGCTGTTTATCATTCCGCACTCTGACATTTGGTAATGTAATAATATAATTTCTAAGAAACTCTGATGTATGAAATAGACCTGTATTGTAACTCGTTCTCATTATTGGATCCTTGGAAAAATGTGGATCTTTTGGGTTTTTCTTTGGGGTGTGCCCGACGGATACCGCCGCTGTAACTCACTCTCGAGGTGCTTAGTGTCTGGTGAAAGACGAGCGCCTCCGTAAGCGAGTTATTCTAGGGCGGTTCTGCCACAACACTCACCTTAGTCGGCTCCGTTTCACTGTAGTTGGCTCCTTTCTCGGAACAATCTTGAAGCCAAAGTTGCCACTGAAGGCGGAGAGGACCAACATTCTCGCCGACGGGAGAGCACACTCACCTTAGTCGGCTCCATTTCACTGTAGTTGGCTCCCTTTCTTGGAACAATCTTTTGATTTGACGTGGTGTTTGCATTGGTTTGGGGTTCATGGCCCTTATCAGTTCAAAACGTAATCTGAACTAGTATATTGCCCGTGCTAACGCTACGGTAGCGTTAGAAAAAATAAATCATAAAGCTAAAATAAATCATAACTAAAAAAATCAAAGGATGAAAGAAACAGAGAGCATCATAAAAAAGAATAGCAAAATCCCATTAATATCTTGTTTTGTTGCTTCAAAGGCTAATTTTATTATATAAAAAACATGAAACTACATATACATATCAAAAGAAAAGTGTCCCACGAAACTACATTCCTACAGCTCGTCAGGGCAAAGCTGTTTCTACATGAGTGCACACACAGTTCAGCACTCAGTACAATTAACCTTGTCCTGAATTCAGTTTCGACTCCAGTAGATTGCCATAAGAACACACTGCAGAAAGAAACAGGCACGATCTGATCCGCCATCGGAGCGAGTCTGAAGGTGAAGATGGACAGGGGAGCTGGTCCATCTGCAGGTCACGCGCACCACCACCTTGGCACCAGTGCAGGTCACGCTGGACACTTCCACCTCTCGCTCCTTAGCATTCAACTCTCAACAATACAGATAGGTTACCAAGTACAAGCCAAAGAAGCTAAAGAAATGAACAACGGCAGTAACAATTCTCTGGAGTAATACAAGAAATGTTCTGCATGCAGTTAAGATTTCTGGATTGGAATTGGAGTTAACAACCTTTGCACTTAAAGTTTCATGAAAGAAATTTGGCACAGGTTTATCACTTATTTCACACAAAGGAGATCATCAGCTTCAGAAAATTTAGCACAGGATAAAAGAAACAGCGGCGAGGAGAGAAATCAAGAAATGCGAGGTGCATTGTTGGAGGAGTTATTGTCTTCCTTCACCTGCATCGATGAATTTTCTAAACCAAGATACAAACCTCTACCAGGAGATGATGACTTAAAAGAATCACACAGCATATGCAAAGAATGGATCACAACATATCTTAACGGAATGAACACAATCTATTTGAGATGCAAGACCAAGGGCAAGGTCCCGAGGAAGCCCACCAGCAACTCCACCATCAGTCATGGCCTCTATTTTCAGTTTCACATACAAAAAGAGGGCATACCTCAAGCCAGTTTAGCATCAAAATATTTCTCTTTAGGAGATCAAAACTTTTCCAATGGCACTGAATAATCTTCTTATACAGTTTTCATCATTATGAGTAGTCATATCTCCCAAACACATGACTGAGAAGTAACCACATTGACCAGCAACCAAAGCTTCTTTTGAGAAGTAACCATATGGCAACAGATGATGATTGCAACAGCCAATTAGACGCACGTAAACATTCATCCAAAATGGAAATCAAACCGTTGAAAACTTGAGATGACGATGCATTGAGGATAACTACCTTGAGAAACTCCCCAATCAGTTGAGCAGCACCGTGTCCGTGCGCTCGTCGTCCCCCACCAGCGATCACGTACAATCTATTTACTGAACCAAATCTAACATGCAGGGAAGAGATCAAAACAACGACACTATGTTTTGCTAAAGACATTTTTAATACGTTGGACATGTCACCATAAGATAATTCCAGCAACCTAAGAGACTGAGGATGACTGAATGAGAAATTAAAAGGTTCAGTAAATAGATAGTATAGGATGTACTGTTTGACTTTCCAATTGTATTTTGGTTAGCTAATAAGGGAGCCGTTACAATACTTATCACGTCAATGGATATTGTGAGGAAAAATGACAAGTTGTACTGCTATTGAGCCCAATTGATATGTCTTGTTGTCTGGTTACAATCAAAATGTGCTCTCAAACAAGCATATGAATTCAAATTTGAGGAATCAAAATTCTTCCTGAATGTACCAACGCAGCAGCTCGTACTCTGCGATGCCTTCCCCAGCCTGCGCCAGTGGAGGCCAAAGCAACAACAGCATCAATCAACGAGATATAGAGAGAAAAAAAATCAACCTGCAGAAAAGGAGCACACGAACCTTTGGCACGGAGCCGCGACAACCAAATCCAGATGCAAGAGGTCGACCTCACGGGGGTTGATCATGGCCGCTGGTCTGCGGCATCGCCGAGGTCATTCATGCTGAGGTCGCCCTCTGGCCATGAGACGGGAAGAGCGGGCGGCGGCAGCGCACTGCACGCCGCCGGTCTTGGGTCGGTCGGACAGGCAGCAAGTCGGTTCCGCTCCAGATGCGGGAGGTCGACCTCCGCGTCGATTGGGCCGTCGGGTGCACCACCGCCGAGGTCTCCATGCTGCGGCGCCGGCGTGGGATGATCCGGGGCAGGGCAGGGCGAGTGCTAGGGCGGCGGGCGGTGGCCAATGCAAGGGCGGGCGCTAGGGCGAGGGCTACGGGATTTGGAGTGGAGGACTGATTGTGGAGCCAGACGTGGGGGAGCAAGGGAGAGAGACCGGGGAAACCGCGTGCACCCCCGGCGGCGAGATTAGGGCTGAGGCGTCCCAGGTCAAGGGGATGGGATTTTAGGGAGCCGGAGCGGAAGGGGGACGCAGGTACACGAAGAAGGTGGGGATCGAACCCGGGAGATGCAGAAGCGGGATGAGGGCGCGGCGCGTTGGGCGGTGTGGGAGAGGAGCGTTTGAAACCGAGTAGTGTTGAAGCCTAATTTGATACAAACAATGCTGGCCATCGGATTAGGTTGAACATTTGATAGATGATTTTTAGCTCTTAATTTTAATGGGGATAGCTCGCTGGATATGATTTCTTCAGGATGTATGGATGGAGCCTCTGAGCAGAGGATGCTTTTTTGGAGAACCTAGTATAGTTTTAATTGATCTATTATAGTAGAGATATCTAATTACGCTTCTTGCTTGGATCTCCTAGTTACTAGTTAGTAATGGATAACATCGTGAACCGTTACGGGTCTATGGAATGCAGATACCACTCGCCACCTAGCGCTAACGGATCCAGTCACCCCGCCCCCTTGCGCACTCACGGAAACAAGCACATCAATTGTTTCCGTTACATGGAACCATTAGCGCATTGATATGATCCCATTGCATTTCCGTTTAAGACGTTGAAACTGAACAGCGCCTACCATTTCCGAGTGTAGTAGATTGACACAAGCGTAGTTCTACTGGGCTTGACAGACTCGTCATAAGCCCACATCACGTTACGGCCCATTGGATAGAAGCCCACTATCAAACGAACATTCTTACACCTTCCTCCTCACCAGTCACCGACAGCAGGGCCCCCACCTCCACAGCGCCCGCGCCAAGAGTGTCAACTTCAGCCCCAGCTCCACCTGCACCTGCCCGCCCGCCTCCCTCCGCCCACTCGGATCCGGGAAACCCTAACCCTAGGACACCGCCCGGCCACCGCCATGGACCCCGACGGCGACCCGGCATTCCACCGCAACGAGGCCATCTCCGCGGTCCAGGACGTCGACCAGTACTACGGCGACGACGACGACTTCGACGACCTCTACAACGACGTCAACGTCGGGGACGGCTTCCTCCACGCCTCACACCAGGCGCCGCCGCCGCCGCCGCCGCCGCCTCCGAATCAGCAGGCCCCTCCGCCGCAGCAGCAACAGCTCCCTCCGCCGCCCCAGCAGCCACCGCAGCAGCAGCTGCATCCACCGTCCCACACCCTCCCGCCACCGCAGCCGCAGGTCCCACCGCCGCAGCAGCAGGTACGCATCCCGGGGGTGGCCGTCCCTGCTCCTGGCATACCTCCCGCCCAGAACAACCTCCCTCCGCCGCCTCAGCCGCCGGCCGCCCCGCGCCGCCGCCGCCTCAGCACCACCAGATTCAGCAAGGAGATGGGATCAACCGCCCTGGAGGGAACTTCGCCGGCGGCCCCATCGTGGTCGGGAACGGTGGCCCTGCTGGTGGGGGTGACGGCCCTGGCGGCACGATGCTGTTCGTGGGGGAACTCCACTGGTGGACGACGGACGCGGATCTGGAATCTGAGCTCAGCAAGTATGGTCCGGTCAAGGAGGTGAGGTTCTTCGACGAGAAAGCCAGTGGCAAGTCCAAGGGCTACTGCCAGGTCGATTTCTATGACCCTGGTGCAGCTGCTGCCTGCAAGGAGGGCATGAACGGGCACGCCTTTAATGGCCGTCCATGTATTGTGGCATTCGCCACACCGAACTCCGTTCGTCGCATGGGCGAGGCGCAGGTGAAGAACCAGCAGGCCATGTCTGCGCAGACATCGAATATGCAGCCGAAGGGTGGTAGAGGGGGCGGTGGTGCCACAGGGACCACAGGTGGGTGGTAATTATGGTGGTGGCCGTGGAGGAGCTGTTGGACCTGGTGGCGGTGGTGGAGCAGGTGGAGGCGGTGGAAATTGGGGAAGAGGTGGCGGAGGCATGGGGAATAGAGGCCCTGTTGGTAATATGAGGAATAGGATGGGCCCAGCTGGTGGCGGCCGTGGGATAATGGGGAATGGAGGGATGGTTGCACCGCCACCACCAATGATGCCGCCGGGTGGAATGCTGGGGCAGGGTTTTGATCCTGCTGGTTACGGCGCTATGGGAAGGATGGGTGGTGGATTTGGCGGTTTTCCTGGTGGACCAGGGGCTATGCCATTCCCTGGGCTGATGCAGCCATTCCCGCCGGTTGTTGCTCCACATGTTAACCCAGCTTTCTTTGGTCGGGGTGGAATGGGTGCTGGTGGAATGTGGCCTGATCCCAACATGGGAGCCTGGGGTGGGGAGGAACAATCAAGTTACGGGGATGACGCAGCTTCTGATCAGCAGTATGGAGAAGGAGGGAGCCATGGAAAAGAGAGGCCACCAGAGAGGGAGTGGTCTGGTGCACCAGAGAGGAGGCGTGAAAGGGAGAAGGATGTGCCTCCTGCACAGGAGTGGCCAGAGAGGAGGCACAGGGATGAGCGTGACATGGACCGAGAGAGGAATCGTGACTATGACAGAGACAGGGAAAGAGACCGTGACAGGGAAAGAGACCGAGACCGAGACAGGGAGAGGGACAGAGATAGGGAGAGAGAGAGGGAGAGGGAGAGAGAGAGGCATAGGGATGACAGAGATCGCTATGGCGATTATCACAGGCACAGGGATCGTGATTCAGAACGTAATGAGGACTGGGACAGGGGGAGGTCATCTGGGATACGCAGCAGGTCAAGGGAGGCTGACCACTCTAAGCGCAGGCGGATGACACCTCAGTAGTCATAGCTGGGTGAACTACTAATGTAGAGGCCGACGATGATCCAGAGCCGAGTCTTACTTGCACACTGGCGTGGTTAACAGCTAGCATCTTCTTACTGGTTCTGTCTGTGGTGGTTCTAATATCCTGTGTCTCCGGCGATGTGTTGTAGCAAGAATGTGAGATGTAAGTGAAGCTTAATCTGATCCCCTGTTTGTTTTTCAACTGTAACCCCCTTTTTTAATTGTACTGTTTGGTAGTCACATGCTGCTAACATCATGTAACAGTATTTTTGTATCATTACACTTCTTGTAACTTGTTATGTACACAAAATTGTTTTTTTCTCCCTGTTGTGATCTTTTGTAGCTACATGGCATTGTTTAAGGCAAGAATTGTAACATAGAGTCCTTGTCTAGTACCATGGAATGTAAAATTTTGCTACTATAGCTCACGTCTCCTTGTAATCATCTTGGTTTTCAATATGTATTTAGGAAAAATGAATTTGTAAAGATGACTTTGTTGTACATTGCAATTCCTTGTAAGGAGCAGTGGCTCCACCTATTTAGGCTTTGTATACATTATTGATTGGAACTGGGAGCATTGCATTTAGCATTTACTCATAGAAAGGATGCTATGTCAAATCAACACTTGTTTGCTACAATATATTGAACTGACAGTAGGACCATGGCCTTGAAAATGAGGGACCGTTGGTTCCATAAGAACACAAGGGTTAGTTGAAATATTTGTTACAGTTCATTTCTGCCAGTCTACTGGCTGCTCTATAGTGTTTATCTTTTTCAATAAGCATGGTTAATTGACTTGTATTTTCACACAAGTATACACGGCGTTGAGGAAAAAGTTTTATTTTTCTTTACTTCTATGGATACCTGGGGGGATCAAATTACCTAGATCATTGTGGACATTCATAAGCGGTAGAGTCTTACCGCCTGTGACCGGAAGGTCCTAGGTTTGAGTCGCGATCTCCTCGCATTGCACAGGCGAGGGTAAGGCTTGCCACTGACACCCTTCCCAGAACCCCCACAGAGCGGGAGCTCTCTGCACTGGGCACGCCCCTTTTATTGTGGATATTCATAAGTATCTTACTTTTCTTGCTCCAGAAATTATCATCAATCAATCTAGCATTCTTTTGTTACTTGCAATTTGGAGCCTACCAATTGTGATCATGTTTGTGTTGGTAATATCACTTTGTAGCCCCTTCAAACTAGCAGAGCATATCCATGATCCTATTTTTGCTATATACTATTCTATTCTTGCATTCAGGCTGTGTTAGTCTTCTCTCAGTTCTCATGGCTTAGCTGTTAGCTTTTTCTTGCATGGAGTCTGACAACACTAACTTTTCCTTGTAAGTACTGACAGATAATGCTATTTTTTTTTATTTTGGTTTCCATTAATAAGGACTAAGTTCAATTATACTTGACTGGTACTTTGTTTTTCCTTTTTTTTAAATTCCCCCACCAGTAGTTGAAGGCTTATGTTCTGTGACTTCTTTCTCTGAATCTAACCTGTATTTTGCCATGCCACTACCACTCCACCACTCTTGGCTGTCTGGGAATATTTGCTCATGGACTATCCTTTTTATTATTATTATTTTTGGTACATGTCAAATATTTACTGTTCTTGAGTGCAAAGTTCAAGCAAGATAGTCCAACGGTTGTAGTTCCATATTTTATTGAGCTGCTGACCTTTGGAGCTTTTACATGTAAGATAAACAATATGTTAGGCTAGGGTGCTTTGATTTATTTCTTAAGGAGGATGCATTAAAGTTTCTAAGAAACATAGAAATAGTATGGTTATGGGGCCAGTGCCATATTCCTTGTTATAAGTTTTTAGATAGTATCTGGAGTGTGCTTGCTATTATCAGTTCTTGCATTTCCCATCCTGAGTTCTTTTCCACCATGTGAAGTCACAGTATGCTTGCTCTTACTTGTATACCTTGTCTCTAAGTGTTACTACTGCATATACTTTGATGCGGCTTTTGCCAATTGGCCTAATGCTTTCTTCTCATTTGCAGGAATGTTTGGTTGGAACCTGTTCAGCTGTGCGGAGGACTTCCCTGGATGATAGTTGTTGCCTCTTATTGTATGCTATGTTAAATGAGTTTCCCAAAGACATAAGGATCTATTTTGTGTGTAATTCGGGACCGATGCTTTTGCAATGTCGTTGTTGAAGATTGTACTATTTCTGTTGTAGCCTTGTAGGGTGATGATAAACCAGTCTTTATTACGACTGTCCTTTGTTCATCCTTCCTCTGTTGGTAATGGACAAATGGTTGACATTCTTGAGGTTTATCCTTCCTGAGATAACGGATAGGCACTGCTTCCTGGTTATAAAGTTTTGTGGCGGAGAAGGTGAGAATTCAGGACCAAGTCAGGCAATCATGCCCCACTGATTTCATGGCGGAAAGTTGGTTGGTGCAGTTGTTGCGTTCAAGCTATAAACTCATCTAATATTTGTTCGGTTTTGTTATGTCTGCCCATATTTACATAACCATGTGGTTTTATGAAGATGTTTCTGGATCTCCTTTTGTGCTGTGGTCACGGAGTGTTGAATTTGAATAGATCTCAAAATGTGATTTTTTATATGTGGCATTTATTTGTTCCTTTTTTGACTGGGAGATGCTTATCGCTGTTGCATCAAATGGAACAAGATCACAACAATTTCTGTCCAGACTCCAGAGGAGCTGCTTTGCTTAACTGGAGCGGAGGAATGGACGAAAACTAGCTATTATTAGGATAACAAAATCCTCCATAACTGAAAGTAAGTGGGTCCGTTTGTAGGGATCTATGCCGTACTTTTTCAGTCAACGAACAATATTTTTCTCTCACAACAAATCAGTCAACGGTACTTTCAATCATGGCTTATTAGCCAAGCGAACATAACGCTAGATTTTTACCAGAAACGTTTTAGGTGATGAATTAGAATCACTTTATGAAACCATTTGGCTCTAAATAAAAAAACATATCTATCTATCTATACTATAAAAGAGTGAAGGAATGGAAAAGAATCTCTTACCCTAAGATTTTCTACCCACCTTAATCCGTTAAATCTATTTTAAAGTCATATTCAATGCATCTAAATTTCTTACATTAATCTGACAATTGGATTCGGCCGAAAAATTTATAAATGTTTACGCCTGTTTCTCTCTTGGAGCGTCTCCTTTCCCTCGATCTTTTTCACCGGTGACTCAGATATTTAGAACCATACTGCACGTGCACTCCACCCACCACCGCAGCGTACACTACAGCAGCAGCGTGCTTTTGTTTGAAAAAGCAATTGCACTGCATCTCGACAAAGAAGGCTTTGCACTTTCGGCAAGAGTGCATCGGCATATCCTTCTTCTAAGAATACTTCTTTGCCGAGTGCCGCCCGCCCGCGCGTTGGGCACTTTCGGCAAAGGGATTTCCCTCCACCGCCACGCCACGGCACAATCTTCGCAAAAAAAAGCCTTCACGTGACGCCCGCCTCACGATGACCCCCCCTTTGCCGAGCAACGCCAACCCTAAACCCAACGACACTCAGGACAAAGAAATGTGTTTTTATTTTTTTAAATGCTTTGCTGCAGGTTCGTTAACATCGTCTCCGTATGGCACTTTTCTAAAGCTTGTTTTTTTCTTTTTTGGATTTTCTTTGCCGAGTGCTTGGTGTAGGTAGATCCGCGTTGCAAAGCAATTTTTTATTTTTTTTACTGGGCAGTGCCTTGACCATGGCACTAATCAATTATTATAAAAGAATAGTGTCGTAGATTCCGTATGCTTTGTCGAGTGTCATGGTCATGACACTCTGGAAAAAAGTGAAAAAACCTTTTTTTGTTTTTAGTCTTCCATCGTTGCAAACAAGATATACATCATATATATATATATATATATATAACACAACTATATATCACACAAATGTATATCACAATCCACCACAAATACAAACATATCATACAAGTATCATAATCTCAACTCCCTAAAATGTCCCAAGTCCAAAGCCCAAACACACAAGCATAGTTCACAAAGTTCACAAGTTGCATTATATCACAATGGCGTCAATGCCATTTGAAGCTCACGGTGACACTCCTGGTTGGGATGGCCAAATGTGCGATCCCCCTGACCCTCAGTTGTGGTTCAAGTCAAGCGCCTCAGATTCCATTGATCTTTGCACAAAATAGAAGAGATTACATTGATCGACAAGAGAAGAGATAAATATGCAAGATAAATATCCACCACTACCACCACCATCACCATATCACCGCCATCACCAACACTTCACCACCGACACTTCACCACCACCACCACACACCACCACCACCACATCACCACCATGACCACCACCACCACACCACCACCACCACCATGAGCACCACAAACACCGTGACCACCACCACCAACACCACACCACCACCAACACCATTCCCACCACACCACCACCACCACCACCACTAGGTTTCTCTAGGTTTCACGAAACTTGTCGAGGTGTCGTGTCATCGCATGTAGAGGCTGTGGTAAAAAATTTAGAAGAATGTCTGGGTTTTAGGCATCGTACATCACAACTTTGGGATCAATGCAAACTTCTAAATTTTTATCACAATCTACATGATGACACGACACCCCTCGACTAATGTTGTCATGCAAACATGATGTTCGTTTGCATTTTATATAATTAAAAAACACTTTTTAACAAGTTGGTGGTCATGTTTAGGAAACAAAACAGTTTTGAAATTTCACTCTTGTCCTTGCTGTCATGCCTTAAAATACACTCAAAAACATGAATACTATTTTTGATCGCTAAATTCCAATATTTCATGCACTGCAGTTCAAATTTATTTTTGAGAAAAATTCAAGTAAACATAAAAATTTTTAAAAATATACCAAAAGTCATAGAAAAGTTCCAAATTGGAACATGTGCTCCAAGGTATTGTATAAATGCCACAGAAAAAATTTGAAAACAAAAAAAAATAAAAAATAAAAATACTTCAGTTGATGGCAGTGCCAGAACTTCTTATTATGCTTCTTTTGGGTAAAAGACAAATCAGTTTGCTGTTGCTAACGACCGGCACACCAAGGACCTCAAATAGGATGACGGAGGGGCCATCGGCGTTCTGAGGGATTTTGCCGAGGGTTATTCTTTGCCAGAGTGCGACACTTGACAAAGAGGACATTTTCACCGAGTGTCCTCTTTGCCGAGTATTTGGCACTTCTTCGAAACCTGAGGCTTTGCCGAAAGTCATGGCTTTGTCGAGTGCGGCACTTCCAAAATGCCTCTTTGCCGAAAGTGCCCGTTTTACCACACTCGGCAAAGCGCCGAAAGCACTCGCCAAAGAGCGCGTCTCCGTAGTGGTACCCAACCCAGCAGGGTTTGGGGTTTCGGCCTCCACCGCTCCTAGCCACCTGCCCACAATCTTGTTGCGAAGATGTTTCAGCATGCCAGCGGGAGGCCGTGATCGTATCGTGGATTATTTTCTTTGGCTGGTTTGGTGTGAGAGAAAAACATCCTTGAAATTTGGATCGTTACTGAATAAGCGGTGATGGTTGTGCCCTCCCCTTCTGCGACTCTCTCTGCGCCGCCTCTCCCACGGTACCCCGCCCGTCCCCATCCACGCAACGCCAACCCTAAACCCAACCCTGCGCCGTCGACGCCGCAGGGCGCGATGAAGAACACACGGCGCGGAAATCGAAAGCAAAGGCGAAGCTGCAGGTTCGTTGAACATCTGTCTCCGTCAATCTTTTTTTTTTCTTCTGAAAGGGTAGTGATCTTCAATGAAGATGACCAGAAAAACTTTGAAAAACAGTGCTTGGTGTATGCAGATCCATCGTTGCCCTTGCCGCTACTACTGATAATTTTTGTTACTGGGCACTTGCATTCAGTTGTTGTTACTAATCATATTATTATAAATTGAATATTCTTGCACAGATGGATGGCGTATGTGTTGCTCAGGGACAGTGGTTGATCATGTGAGCAAAAAAAAGTGGAGACTAACCTCTGCTATTCTGGTTAGGAAACCTGACACTCAGTTTGAGGTCTATGGGCATGACGACATTAAGGTCAAATAGCACATCAGTTCCTTGTGTTTTTCATGATGACTTTCTCCTATCCTGCTGTGGTTAAGTATTTACAAATTTGTCGATTACAGATCGAAGTGGTTCTTCGCAATAAACAAACTGTTCAAGGGTTCCTAGAAATGTTGAGAGCTCTTGGTCTATTTTTGTGATGTCAGTCAGGTAAACGGGCTTTGGAATTACATTACTCCTTTTTCTTTTTCTGTACTGATGGTTGTTGGTTGATTGTTTCGCAGGGTGGCGTCAATGTGTGCCTGAGTGTGCTGTCTATCCAGTGCAAGACTCTCTGGTCAGGAGCGCGGAAGGTATATAGATCTTTTTCCCTGATTCGAATACGTTATTATGGAATCAAGTCAAGCGGTTCTCAGATTCCAATTAAAGTCGTTTAGATTTTTGGTGGTTGGTTTTCTTCTGCCATTCTAATCATTTATCACATAATAATAAATAGCTACAATAAACTGCTAAATTCTGTGGTTGCTGCAGCAAGTGATTAGCCTTACTACATCGTCACATGTTATTAGCTTCTATTGCTCGTGTAATTCTGAATCTGGCTTTAACGCACTTTGCACGGTCAAGAGCAACACTACTCAGCGACCGTGCAACAAGATAAAACTATGGCAACCGCCAAAGGCGATGTCGACCATCTTCCCATATACGACCTGGACCCCAAGCTGGACAAATTCAAGGACCATTTCAGCTACCGGATAAAAAGATTCCTGGACCAGAAAGGCTCCATTGAGGAAAATGAGGGAAGTCTTGAAGAATTTTCTAAAGTTTATGCTTCATACATTCAAATGCTAATATTTATAGCTCCTGCCTATGCCGCAAAATATCACCTTATCAGCATCATCAAAATCATTGTGGATTTTATATGTTTTTCAGGTTATTTCAAATTTGGGATCAATGCAAATGAGGATGGATTGTATATCATGAATGGGCACCTGCTGCGCAGTAAGTTCTAATGTTGTCATGCAAACATGATGTACTGAAGGAGATAGTAAGGGCATGTTTAGTTCCACTCCAAAATGCCAAATTTTTCAAGATTCTCCGTCACATTGAATCTTTGAACGTATGCATGAAGCATTAAATATAAATAAAAAATAAAACTAATTACACAGTTTAGACGAAATCCACGAGACGAATCTTTTAAGCCTAATTAGACTATGATTGGATACTATTTGCCAAATAACAACGAAAATACTACAGTAATATTTCGCCAAAAAATTCTGCATCCAAACGGTGCCTAACTAGATTTAAAACAAAGAAAAGCTAAAACACATGAGATTAATCAATGTTTAGGAATACAAAACAATTTGGATACTTCACTCTTGTCCAAGACTGTCATGTCTTGGCTGAGGAGACTAAAATCTTTTTTTCTCTCTTTTTTTCTTCTTGTTGTGATTACTTAATGCTATTTTATTCTTATGACAAAACATAGTTGGTGCATTTAACTTGAGTTTTTTTTACTTATGGATGTATAGAGGCAGAGCTTATTGGTGACCTCAATGACTGGAATGGTGTGAGCCACAAGATGGAGAAGGATAAATTTGGTGTTTGGGAATTTGCAGACAATGTGCTGCCACACATACGAGAAAATGACTACAACAAAGTTCAGTTGATGGTAGTTATGGAACATTCTTATTATGCTTCTTTTGGGTACCATGTGACAAGTCAGTTTGCTGTTAGCAGTAGACCGGGCACACCAGAGGACCTCAAATATCTTATTGATAAGGCACAAAGTTTGGGTTTGTGAGTTCTTGTGGATGTTGTCCACAGGCATGCAAGTAATAATGTCACAGATGGTTTAAACTTTGGGACAGTCGGCTGTTCAACTATGCTAACCGGGAGGTATTGAGGTTTCTTCTTTCTAACCTGAGGCTGGATGAATTCATGTTTGATGGCTTCCAATTTGATGGAGTTAAATCAATGTTGTATCATCGCCATGGTATCAATGTAGGGTTTACAGGAAATTACCAGGAGTATTTCAATTTGGACACAGATGTGGATGCAGTTGTTTACATGATGCTCGCAATCCATCTAACGCACAAACTTTTGCCAGAAGCAACTGTTGTTGCTGAAGATGTTTCGGGCATGCCAGCCCTTTTTTGGCCAGTTGATGAAAGCGGAGTTGGGTTTGAATATCGTCTGGCAATGGCTATCCTTGATAGATGGATTGACTACCTAATATAAAGAATAAAGATGACTTTGAGTGGTCAATAGGTGAAATAGCACATACTTTGACTAACAGGAGATATACTGAAAAATGCATCTCACATGCTGAGAGCCATGTAAAACTCATAATATTGATATTTAATTGATTTTCCAAATTTGATGGTTCCTATACTGATATGTGCAAATATGGTTATGATTAGAAGCTCATAGAGTCATAGATAACGATGCTTGTACTCATTGAACTATGATATCTTATATAGTCAAAGTTTCCAATGTCAGTTTTTATCCAAATTATATAGACAATGGCTTAGATATTATAATGACTTATTAAATAGTTTTTAAAACACGTGCCTGGGCATGTGCATGTTCACTAGTAAATAAAAATATGCTTCCAAAAAAATTTCAAAATTTTTGTAGGCAAAGAATAGCTTGAATACAATCCATTTTAACTTGTTGCACTTAAAAAGAATAAGCAGAAAAAATACAGCCGGTAGTATACGAGAGAGACTGAAACAGAATCTAGTGAAACCAGTTGTTTCTCTCGCCCAAGCATAAAAACGTGAATCCATGCGAAACGTTTCATGGCTGAAACGATTCCGGATGAGATCGTTTGGAAGCGTCTCTTCTGCTCCTAACCAGAATCGGAAGCGTTCCGATCGTCCAAACGGCCCCTACGGCTATATGTTTGAACTCTTCGCATTGAGGTTTAGTAATATTTCTAGATAACAAAACCCTTCGTAATTGTATGTAGATGAAGTAAGATTACATACTTAAACTCTTTGCATGGAGGTCTAATAATATTTTTAGTGTCAATTTTCCTCCCTGAGTGTCTCTCTTTAAACGTTCGAGGCCTTGCAAAATTTAACTTCACAAACTTTAGAATTTGGCTCAAATTGGAACCGAAGGGTTCGAATCACATGCCTTTCCTAAAGCAGACCTACGGCCCATGTAGTAAATAAGGCCCAGGAGCCTTATCTCAAGACTCAACTCCCGCCATCATGTGGGCCCACGGCGCGCGCTCGTGCGGGACCTGGACGAGCGCGAGCGCGAGCGCGAGCGCTCCAGAAGTCGAGACTCGAGAAGCCGCAAGTCGCCTCTCCGGTCTCCGGCTCCGATTTCTATTTTTTTACATACTATAAAATCTTATTTTCCATCTCCTTCCTCAGCTTCCCATCCCCACCCACCCCAATCCCGCAATCCCTAACCCTAGTCGCCATGGACCCCGACGGCGACCCGGCGTTCCACCGGAGCGAGGCCATCTCCGCCGTGCAGGACGTCGACCAGTACTACGGCGAGGACGACGATTTCGACGAGCTCTACAACGACGTCAACGTAGGCGACGGCTTCCTCCGCAACTCCCACCAGCCGCCGCCGCCCCCACAGCAGAATCACCACCAGCAGCAGCAACAGCTCCCTCCTCCGCCCGCGCAGCTGAACCATCACCATCAGCAGCAGCAGCTCCCTCCTCCGCCCCTGCCGCAGCCGCAGCCGCAGCAGCCCCCGCCCCACTCTCTCCCGCCGCCGCCGCCGCACGCCCTGCCCCAGCAGCAGGTCTACGCGCCTGCTGTGGCAGCGCCGAGTCCGAGTCAGCCGCCGCCCCAGCCGAATCTCCCGCCGCCGCCTCATCCGTCGGCCGCACCCGTGCCTCCGCCGCCTCAGCACCACCAGATCCAGCAGGGCGACGGGTTCCACCGGCCGGGAGGGAACTACAGCGGCGGTCCCGTCGTTGTCGCCAACGGAGCTGGCGTCGGCGGGGGCGATGGCCCCGGCGGCACGACGCTGTTCGTGGGCGACCTCCACTGGTGGACGACCGACGCTGATCTGGAGGCGGAGCTCAGCAAGTATGGGCCGGTGAAGGAGGTCAGGTTCTTCGACGAGAAGGCCAGCGGCAAGTCCAAGGGGTACTGCCAGGTCGACTTCTACGACCCTGCCGCTGCTGCTGCCTGCAAGGAGGGCATGAACGGCCACTCGTTTAATGGCCGTCCATGTGTTGTGGCATTCGCGTCTCCCAACACTGTGCGCCGCATGGGCGAGGCGCAGGTGAAGACCCAGCAGGCCTTGGCTGCACAGACAACATCAGTGCAACCAAAGGGTGGTAGAGGTGGTGCTGGTGCTGGAATGCCTCATGCTGCTGGTAATTACAGTGGTGGACGTGGAGGAGGTGCTGTATCCAGAGGCGGTGGTGGTGGGAACTGGGGTAGAGGTGGTGGTGGAGGTAGAGGCCCTGTTGGTAATATGAGGAACAATAGAATGGGTCCAGCAGTTGGCCGTGGAATTGGGAACGGCATGGTTGCGCCACCACCCCCGATGCTGCCTCAAGGGGGCATGCTGGGCCAGGGGTTTGATCATGGTTTTGGTGCAATGGGAAGGATGGGTGGTGGGTTTGGTAACTTCCCTGTTGGACCAGGTGCTGGGCCGTTTCCTGGGATGATGCAACCATTTCCTCCGGTTGTTGCACCACATGTAAACCCGGCCTTCTTTGGTCGTGGTGGGATGGGGATGTGGCCTGATCCCAGCATGGGGGCTTGGGGTGCGGAAGAACAATCAAATTATGGGGATGATGCAGCATCTGATCATCAATATGGGGAAGGGGGAAGCCATGAGAAGGAGAGGCCACCAGAGAGGGAGTGGTCTGGGGCATCAGAGAGGAGACGGGACAGAGAGAAAGATATGCCCCCTGAACAGGAGTGGCCAGAGAGGAGTCACCAGAATGAGCATGACATGGGCCGAGAGAGGGATCGTGACTATGACAGAGACAGGGAAAGAGACCGAGACAGAGAGAGAGACCGAGATAGAGAGAGGGACAAAGATAGGGAGAGGCACAGGGATGACAGAGATTGTTATGGTGATTATCACAGGCATAGGGATCGTGATTCAGAGCGTAATGAAGACTGGGACAGGGGGAGGTCATCTGGGATACGGAGCAGGTCGAGGGAGGCCGACCATTCTAAACGTAGGCGGATGGCACCTCAATAGTGTAGCTGGTTGAGCTACATCTAGTGTAGAGGCAATGAGGCAATGATGATCCAGGGCAGCATCTTTTTTGCACCCAGGCATTGTTCAGTAACAACTAGCAACTGCTTACTGCTTGTAGCTGTGATGGTTTTCACTGCATAAATCTCCGTGGTCTGTTGTAGCAATAATTTGAGATGTAAGTTATGCTTGATCTGATCTCTTGTTTGTTTTGAACTGTAACTCTTGAATTGTACTGTAAAGTAGTGCTGTGGCATATTGACACTGTCTGTTGTGGTAGATTAGGACAAAAGCGTCCACAACATTGTCATGTAATTTTTTTTTTACTGACCTTTATGTAAAATCATTTGTATAGATCTTTAGGTTCGGTTGATACTCTCTGTAGCTAGTTGGCATTGTTTTAGCCAAGAATTGTAACATATTGGCCTTGTCTAAAACATAAGCTTGTAACTGTTAGATAGCATGCTCACTATTTTGGCATATTGGTGTCGCTGTGTAACATAGTTTCTGTACTAATATTCTTCATATAGCTTTTTAGGTACACAAAATTGTGTAACTTTTGTTATTTTGTCAGTCCACGTTGTAATTAGGTTAGTTGTCAAAATGTAAACAAGAGTAAATCTGTAAAGGCTGTTTTCTTGTACGCTGCAATCAGATGTAAGTAGCATTGGCTGTCCTTTTGTTTGTGTGTTTCACGAATGGGAACATTCTGTTGTATCGCGAGCTGTGGTGTTAGTGCCATGGTGAACTAGCAATTTGGTTCAAAACCCTGCTGGGCAATGAAATAGGTCTTTGCTTCCACAATAAGATAATTGACTCGTCGCTGTAGGTGTATGAACCTCTAATAGTGACACAATTGGCATGATATCATTCTTGCAGCTTTGAGAGCACACAGACAATGCATGAATTGCTTCATTGCCAATTGTGTCACTATTTTTGTTAATCAATTTAGGGCATCAAATTTACTCCTTGTCTTTTATTTTCGTAATCTAATTCCTTGGTTTCTGATCATGTAGGTTTAGTTTGTAGCCCAGTTATTAGGCAAGCACATCCATGTTTCGTTCATTCATTCTGCGAACACTAGTATTTCTCTATCAACTACCATGTCTTACTGTTGATGTGTCAATGCATGCCAACACCTTATTTCTGTATGGTACTTCGGAGTTATGATTAACCGTGTGACATAGCATTATGCTTTATGTGAGTTTTTTTCCTTTAAACTGTTGCTACTTGTGCATTAAGCATGCTGTTCCTAAACTGCTTACTGCCGCACCTGCATCTTCTGGTTTTAGTTGTGCAGTTTTTATTTTTCCCTTTTAATTTCACAAACTGCTTACTGCTACATTGATTTTCTAGTTTAACTGCACGTTTTTTACTTTCTGTATATTTTTTATGGTTACTCATGGCTTCCTTCTCATGTGCAGACATAAGCGGTTGGAACTTGGAATCTGTTCTGGGCTACACAAAGATCGCCTTCCCTGGATGATAGTTGTTCTCTCTTATTTTCATAGGTCCTCCAATATCGAAAACAAAGACATAAAAATACATCGAGGTGTAATGGTCACAGTTGTTGCTAGTTGGAATATTCAGTATGCGAGTCTTCGTGTAATAGATAGATATACCGGCTTGTTTCTTCTTAAAAGATATTGTGTTTACCATTGTTTGCTTGTTCCTCTGTTTATAGTGGACAAATGGTTTTATCATTCCCTGTGATAGATTCATGTGACGTTTAGTATTGCAGTAGCTGTGATCGTCTGCCCGAAGCCAGATTCAATGTCTTTGCTCAAGCGAGCCACGCCATGAAGGGGGCGTTTGGTTCGTTTCCCTGCCAAGCTAGCTCGCACGAAGGAAGCCAGGCCACGGTTGGCCAGGCCCGACGCATGCATGCAAGCGTGATTGGTTAATCGGCTTCATCCGGCCAGGCTACACACAGATGGTGATTGGTTGGCCCGCTTCCTTCCTGCCTCGTGCATGCGCCCTCTCACGCGCGTACGCGCGCTGCGCCCGCGCCAGCCAGGCTCGGCAAAAACGGATTCGGGAGCCAGGCTCCGGGTGGCTCGTTGCACGCCAAGGGCCAGGCCCAGAACCCCATTCAGGCTTCCAAACGCTGGGAAACTACATCCCGAGAGCCAGGCCAGAGTATGTACAAGGAACCAAACAGGCCCTAACACTCACTATCTAGTTTCATACTATCCAAAAAAAAAAAACATTTGCCACGCATAGTTACATACGGTCAAAATATGCAGCTTGCCATATAAAGTTAGGTTAGACCCTACTGTGAGCACAAACGAATCATAAGACGACTTCAGCTTCAAACATGAATCACAAAGTATAGTGACCAGCGACCCATCGTGCCACCCATTGCTTCAAAGTTTCCTCCTTCCGTCCCTTCAACATGCTAGCAATGTGGCGATTTTGAGCAAGATAGGTTAGCAAATCAAGGCGAACCGGCAAAGGATATTCATCCATGTCTTCAATGGCTTTGAAAATACCCTCGTGTGGATCAGTGCTATGGGTAAAGCTCACTGCTTCCGACAAGGCCTGCATGAAAATGGGGACACCTTGCTTAGCCCATTTCCCTTTCTTCTCCTTTTCTTCGTGTTTGCGCTTAGAACCTACTGGGTTTGGACTATCAGACTCTGGGTGGGTGTCGGAATCGTGTTGAGAAGGATCACCATTCAGATCTGCCAGTTCTTGAGTTGGGTCGACATTCCCAACGAGATCATCCTCTTGCCTTGCTGAGCTAACAAATGGTGCTTCAACAACACTGAACTCTCCAGTAGCATGTTTCCCCGTGAAGACAAACTCCATCTCATCATACAAGGGAATTGGAACATTGTAGTACTTAGCCTTCTTATCACCTTTCTACATTTACACAAAAGAAAACTATGTTTCATTAGGATACCATCCAGTTTGCAATGTAACTTATATATATGTGACAAAGATATTTATTATGTATGCTTACAGCTTTCATCTTGACAACCTCTATCTCGTCATAGATTATCTTCTTCTGAACATCATCAAAACTAGCATCCTTAGCAGACTTTGCCTCCATGATCAGCTTCCATTCTCCTTTAAGCTTGTGGTACTTGTTGTAGGTTTGTTTCCACATGAAGTTAGTACCATACTTTTCATTAAGCCTTCGAGCACACTCTTCATGATGGACCTCCCTTAGAACAAAGGCCCTCCCTGACTCATGGATTTTCTCCTTGTAGTAGAGAAGGATTTTCTCCTTATGGTAAAGAAGGAGATCCTCCACTTCCAGGTGTTGCCACATCACACTGTTCCCAACCATATCTGCAAATGATAACTTAAAATTTACATGAATAATAAGAACTGCATTACACATTCAGGTTTCAATATGGTCCTAAAGCAATGTACGACTCACATTATAGCCAAATAAGATCTTACATCTTTCATAATAGTCTTATAAGTGGCTGATGCAATCCTACTTTATAGAAATTAGAAGTTAGCACTTATAAATTGGAGCTGGACTTTGGATAGAATTCCGTGTTGTTTGGACCTCAAAATATCGGTAGAATCTCGTGATGCTTCGGATTCTGAAGGGTACATCTATTGACCTGTGTCACAGAGCTTCACTGAAACATCTACGAACAGTTTTAGTAGACCTTAAAAAATTGTCCCTATTCTTTTCCTTGTGGCCAACTGTTTGAAGAAACATGGCAACTTGTTCCTCAACTGAGTAGTGCCAAGTATCGCGGAGTGCATCCATAGAACGAAACTTTGTGCATAGCTTGAGAAGACATATTTACTCATTCTAAGAAGATTAACTGAGTCTGAATCCTAACCACAATATAATTTTTTTAGATATATCATTCTGTCCCTATTCTTCTCCAAAATAGAGCACCTTACAGGCCTACTATTATTGTGTAGATAAGGGATGAGTGCCCAACCATAGATGCAACCATAAAAGCCATCTAGATGAACAATGAAAAGTCAGGTCTTCTCTCTTTGCACTTACATGAACATGAGGAATAAAAAAACACTGCAAGTATTCATCTTGAAGTTAAATTAGTCCCCAAATGCAGATTGCCTGGGCAGAACTGTAACTATTTATCCTATCACGAATTGAGTGATTCAGTTGTGCTTGCGTGCTACTGAAAAGATTTTCTAATAACAGAACAGGACAGTTCCCGACCCCCAAATTGAAGTAGAACTAGTCGGAAAAACGAATCAGTGCATCGGGACGCAAAAATTTTGGAGGTGGAGATGCAACCGGAAGTATGGGGAACGAATCTGTGCATCAATTCGCAGCGCAATGGGAAGTACCTCTCACTGAGGGCAGCAACAGGCTGCGATGAAGGGAGGTAGCGACGGGCCACAGTCACAGGGATCGCGGTACGTAGCGGAGATCCGCGTCCCGGGAACGAGCGTTCTGGATCGCGGTTCGGGGACGGCAGGGTACGAACGACGGATCGACGCTGGGACGACGTCCCAAAACAAACTGGAGCTGGAGGCGCGGCGCGGAGCTGGAACGGCGTGACGAAGCGGCCGTGGGCGGCGCGTCGCTGGGGTCGAGCGGCGCGGCCGCGAGGCGCTAGGGCTGGGGTCGGGCGCGCCGGCGGCGGCGGCGCCCGAGGTCGGCTGGATGAGTGTCGGACGAGAGTTTTTTTTTTTTACACTGTGCTGGACGAGAATTGGGACCTAATGTAAATGGGCCACTGGGCCTCCATCACGAACGCCAAAGTTGAAATGCAACGTGACGGAAAATGAAACGTTAGCTCTCGAGTTCAGACAATTCGCAAAAAGCTCTCGAGTTCAGACTTCATTTTTTTCAGTAAAAAACACATACTACTCTAGAGTTCAGAACTTTATGATAGATTCAGTCAGCGCTATAGTTCACAGACGAGATCCCGTTTCATAGCTACATTTCGGATATGTCGCCCGAATTATCTGATCTCATCCTCCAACCAAACATTCCAGAGAGGTATTACCTCCTATGAACCAGGAAATTAAAATCGTCGATCCGTGTCCCACGTACCACGTTCGCGGTCGTACTGGGAACCTTTTTTGTGACTGTGCATGTATGGGGAGGAGGGAAGGCACCGGTGCATCGGATCTGATTATGTGGAGAGAAAGAATTAGAGAGCTTTTAGAGCAATTCCAGTCACATTGCTATTTTAGACTTCTACTCTTCAGAATAGCAAGCCTCTTGTTCAGATTGGCTCTCTAGTCTATCCCTTCCGACAGATCAGCAACGCCCCTCGTCTCGATCCACAGGAAGCGGCAAAAAGGAAGAGGAGCGGGGATCAGGAAGAAGCAAGAAGCAGTCCTCGCACGACAAAGAGCACGGCCGCCGTGTGCCATGTGCTCGGATTGCTACTTCGGGGGACAAATGTGGCAAGCGAAAAGGGATGGGATAACAAGGCAAGAAGAGAAGCAGGCTCAACAAAGAGAGATTTCTTCTTTTGAACATGAACAAAGAGAGATTTCGTTAGTTTGACATTCAATCTATGCGATTTAATATTCAATCATGTGCCATTTAAAATTTAACACTAGGTATGTGAATTTCTTCACTTCAAAGGCTATGTCTCTTCTCTCTTTTTTTTCTTTCAGAATTTAATTAACGTTATATATGTGAATTTCTTCACGTTAAAAGTTATACTCCATCCGTTCTAATTTATAGTAAAAGTCCCGCTCGACGCTTCGTCAGTGTTGACTATGACAACACCTTCGGGCTGATTGGGACGTCGCTGAGGGCCTCCTTCCTTGTCTCGAGCTTCTCCCGGTGAAAACCATGTTTACTTAGTGGACAAATGACTACAAACATGCTTGGTCTAGTTACCTATTAGGAGTTGTCTGTTATTGGAGATCGCCCTTAGCTTAGGTGCACTCTTCATGTGCGGTGAGACATATTCCTTTGTGTTGCTATCTCTTGCTTCACAATGATCATTTGGCGCTCGTGGATTGGATGTGTCATGTGAGGTCTGAGCTCCTTCATAGTTGGGATGCAATGAGACTTGGCAACGATGACAAATTAGTTGCTTAGGTGGAGGTTTGGTGACCTAGGGTAGGTTGAGGTTCACTAATGGAAGTCGAAGCTGCTTTTGCTTTCACAAGGAGCTCAACAATGATAACCATCGGCGGACTTCGCTGGTGTGTTCTTGCTCAACCTGTCATGACAATGATGAGGTTGTGGAGCTTGCTCTATGGAGTCGAAGATGCTAAGGCATGACGAAGCTCGACGACGACGACGACGACATGTGTTAGGTTTTTCTTAGGTGTGTTAGTGGAGCCATTTATGTGTAGGTGGTGGTGTCTTGGTGACTCTAGATAAAGGTCCGTTATGAAAAGTTGAAGTTGCTTTGTCGCTTTTGCATTAAAGCTAGGCAGCGATGATGCATGATGACCTTCTTGTGTGTTTCTCATTAAGTGCTAGTGGTTCAACTGTTGTGTGGATACGTTTTGTGTTGACTTATATTCTTCTTAATTGAGGTAAAAAAAAGGGAGTGTGAGCCTTTCTTGCGCCCCGGTGTATTGTGTACATGGTGACTTCGGGGTTGTTTGGTACAACTTTTAGCCAGTTTAACAAAAGTTGTTTTTAACTTCTTCTGTAAACAGGCTATGATGAAACAACTTCTTTGTAAAAGTTGTTTTTTTAGATTCGCTCACAAGCACAATTTTGCAGGTGAAGCTCAAAATACTAGTTTTTTTTTACCTCTCTGCTATTTTCTAGAGAAGCTATTTTACTACAGAAATACTATACAACATACATGTGTTTTAGCAAAAAAAAAACATATGGATTTTTTTATCCCTCTCTCTTTTGTCACGCCCCGTCCCCCAAGGTGAAAATCCAACAAGAGGCGTGTGATCGGTCACCCTCGCAGTGTGACCCAGCCTTTTGTCCTTGCATAGAAAAAAACTTGTGATATGTGGATGTTTTTTGTGATTTGTGATTATGCCTCTTGGATCTTAATTCTATGGTGTAAAAAAATTTATATGTTGAAACTACATAAAACACGTGGTTGTTGGGTAGACAAACTCATTTTACTAACAATTTTGAAGACTTTAAGGTTTACTAATGAAGCTGCTTTATAAAATCAAAGTAACAAAACTGATTCACTAGAGCCACGCACTCGCGTGAGAGGAGCCAGGGACCCGAATCGGCTTCTGCTGTTCTGCATCTGCTCTCCCCGGCTACTGTACGTCTGTACCCCCGCCTCCCCTTCTCCCGCGCACGGGCACGGCGCACCCATCACCTTCACCTCGCTCACCGGCTCGCTGTCTCCGGCCCGAGGTGAGCATCCGTGCACCCGACATCCATGCTGATCGCTACTCGCGCCTTGGGTCCATTTGGTCCGCTCCGATTGGGTCCGGCGGCTGTCAATTTGATCTCTCCGCTGGAATGGATCTGAAGATGTGTGATCATGGGATTGTGCGTTTGGACCTGGATCTGGGGGTGATTGGTTGGTTAGTTGCAGCCTCCTGAGACCGTGGGATTTTTTTTTTTTCTACTTCCAGGAGGTCGGGGCGGGCCACGTGTTCTAGTTGTGAGCTTGTGATCCCTTGTCGCGTCTCATTTGCTTGGAGCCATTTAGTGGCCAATTGTCTCAGTAATCATAAATAAAATTGGAGCCAGACCAGGGTAGTTCTAGTTCGAGCCAAACTGTTGCTATACTTGTGATTCTTTATTTTGCTATATAATAAATTGGATCAATACAGCTGTCCTTGTGCCTGCTTGTCTCCAAATTCCAGAATAACAAAGCAACGAAAACGTATCAGTTCTTATAAGCCGTGGCCCGTGGCCCTTTACAGGCCTTAATGTATATCCTTTTATAGAGGGAATTAGGTGTCCCAACTCCTAATTATAATAACATCGCCTATACTTGCCTGGTTTCAGCACATAAAAACAATTTCTTTGACTTTCAATGATATGTTTCTTTTTCCACATTTGAGATATGAAAATTTGGACTTCCGTTGTACAAAGCAGCAAATATTTACATATTGCAACTGATCTGCAGAGTAGCTTTGAGCTATGGGCACAGCTGTGGATGCTTCAGCAGTTGTGGCTGAGGAGGTACCTTGGATTTACTTGAAGCTACTGATTGATCACCTACATATTTGATAATCCACTTACTGTCACAAAGGCCTAGGTTCATTGAGAATGTGGAGCACCTCAATTTTTCAGCATCAAAACATATTTCTTAATTTATTATCCCTTCAGTCCAACATCAGTTCCTTTCTGAGTTTTTTTTTTATTATTTCCTGTTACCTTTACAGTTGTTTCCCTTTAGTCTTGTATCTTTATGCCTAAATTTCAGAATTAGTTACTTTTACTGGAATATATGCATTGTTCTCTTTTCTGGTTCATAACCTGAGAAATTATTTTTCATATCATCAATATATTTTCTACATGTTGTCTAGGAAATACCCTCACCTTGTAAAAGTTATGCTATTCATAAGTTATACCTCATCTTAGAAATGTACTCCACACGTTCAGGTCACTGAGAATATGCTGGGTGGCAAGTTACTGCTGTATTCGTTCTAGGTATCTGTTCTATCTTCACTTATTACATTTGCCTATTGCATATCCTACCTCATGGAAGAAAATTAGCTTATACATCTTTGAAAATATAAAATGGGTTCATTAAATATATCTGGTTACATATATGCACTCAAAAGATACGACTTTGTGACACAGGTGGTCCTGGAAGTGGAAAGGGCACACAGTGTACCAATATTGTGGAACACTTTGGATTCACCCATCTTAGTGCCGGAGATCTTTTGCGTGCAGAGATCAAATCTGGCTCAGAGAATGGGTATCTTCCTTTTCCAATCCCTCCATAAGAAAGCTAACTGCATTTTATTTCCTTTTCCTTCTTATTTCCTTCTTAACACATTTTTTCAAGTAAAATTAGATTAGTCCTGTTGACTCATTTGTTTGACCTCTATATGTTTCTATGTTCTTTATGCACTTTAATGTTCTTCAGAACCATGATTGACGACATGATAAAGGAGGGAAAGATTGTTCCATCAGAAGTAACCATAAAGCTGTTGAAGGAGGCCATGATAAAAAGTGAAAATGACAAATTTCTGATTGATGGATTTCCAAGGAACGAAGAGAATCGTGCTGCGTTTGAGAATGTTGTAAGGCCCTTTCTTTTGTTTGGTTGTACCCAGTTGTAATGATGGATCAAGGGATTATATTTCATTCTTTATTGTATGTTTAAATGAATTTGCTAGACTATTAATTGTTCCTCATTGTTGCAGACAAAAATTTCTCCTGCATTCGTTCTATTCTTTGATTGTGCTGAGGAAGAGATGGAAAGATGTCTTCTGGGGCGCAATCAGGTTTCCTTAATGATCCTTCACTTGTGCATATTTTTAGTCACAAAGTCTTTGTTTCTGATATTTATTGTTCTCTTTGCAGGGAAAAGTTGATGATAACATTGAAACTATCAGAAAAAGGTTCAAAGTTTTTGTTGAATCTAGTTTGCCTGTCATTGAGTACTATAGCTCAAAGGACAAGGTTAAAAAGGTATTAATGGACTTTTATCATTTGAGGGTTACTCCTATTGCAGTCTAATGATGCAAAATGTAGTATTATTATACTATAAATAGAAGCATAGATTGGAATAAGATGCATGCCAACTTAAATATATGAGATTAGAAGGATGATGTTTAGATGGCAAGATAATCTGATGGAGTAGTCTTCCTTACTTCCTTTTGAGTTCATGACCATCATTATATTTTTCACATTTTAATTAATTGCTGGCCCTTCTGTTGGAATTTGCAACCTAGATTGATGCGGCAAAACCAATTCCTGAGGTCTTTGAAGACGTGAAGGCCATTTTTGCCCCATATGCTCCAAAGGTGAGTTATGGGATTTAGTCTTTTTTTTTTTTGTCAATTGCACACAGCATTTCTGAATGACTCTTAACTCCTTTTTGCATCGTGCTGAATCATTTTTTCCTTCAGTGAATGTGTATCTACCAACATGTTATGTAAGGGTGTGAAAAAAATACAGTACATATATTATCAATCTGTTTGCTCATCACATTTTCTTCTTGACTTCTTATCTATCAGGCTGAATAGAGCAATATACAAGGCAGGTCATGGAGGTGATAGACAATGCCATATAACCCTCTAGACCTAAATAATTTCATTTGTTTATTGGCGCCGTGGGATTCTCATATAGTCTTCATTATCTTTTGCAGGCACCGAACAAGTGTGACTACATATCTTTGATTATGAACCTGTTTAATATAGAAGAAAAGTTTTAGCTCAAATGAGCTACCAGCATATATCAGTAGGCAATTCGATTTGTTATCAGCAATAAGTAGATCTGAGTCCCTGTGTTCCTGCTAGAGTAGCATTTTACCAATGTTGGTGTATCCTTTGATATTGTTGTATCAATGTGGCAATGTGGTCAAACCTTGTGGCTTGTGCCCTCCCACCTGCTCTCTGGTGGCATTACCGAAAGTAGAACTGCTGTCATATTCTTTATAAGTGATTGTTTATTCTTGTAGGCATTAAAATGTGCAACATTGTACTCAACCTTTGTATGATCACTTGGTGCCCTCATGTCAGAAATTAGATAGTATCTACAGGCCTATGTAGATGCTCCTGATCTGATTGGGAGGAATAGCGTACAATATGATTCTTGCAGTCGTCCTTGAAATATTGAAGGTCAAGGGCCAGGCTTCTTGTGTGACTATGGGCTATCTGTAGTAATTCTGTTACTTTAGTCCTGAGGTTAACACATTCCTCTGGTTTATGAAGGTATTTTACAAGCTTGTGAACCATTTGTGAGCTGATTGGAGCATTTTGTCAAAACAAAAAATGCATAGCCATGTACTATCAATGTAAGAAGACCAAACTGATTCTGAGGAAAACAAGCAGCGGCCTCTAGTTTAATACCACGAATGTAACTTTTGTACTGCCTCTTTGATCACCTGCGTTGCTTGTAATCAGGTTGGCTGCCCAACTGTAAGCAAGAAACAGGAAACTTGGTAGGATATTTTGTTCTACATTGCAACCCCATAGAAGTGATGGCGTCTATGCCTTTGTTTGCTGCATGTAAGGTTTCAGTGATTACCTAATTGGGAGCTCGGAACATTTCCCGTGATCCCGTGATGAGGGTGATACATCTAACTGACAATTTTGTTCTAGTCCCTGCTGAGCTGTGAGCTGGGCATAGCAGTATCTCCTTGCTTCCATAGTGAGATTCTCAACTTATTTTTGTACGAGCATGCACCTTTCACTAGGTCATCTATGGCATCATTCGTTCAGGTATAATAGCACATGAAGATACATGCAGTTGAAGCATCTGTCAGACCAGCCATACTACTACGCAAATGAATTGTCTTCAAAATGCATGGTGGACAATCAATGTGATGTTTTCTCTCTCTCTCTCTACTATAATGCAAGGTAGAGCTGCTGCCATTTTTCTTCTAATCTAAAAAAAAAAGAGTTTACCAAGTTTTTTTTAATGAATATAAATATATGAAGGGTTGTTTGGATCACAGCTCCAAGGATTTGAAATCGAACGCAGGAACCAAACAGCCCCAATCTGCTTCATCTGTATCCTGTGCTGACTGAAAATATTGTCATCTACTCTCATGGCTGTCTTCTGAACAGTGCTTGGTGCGTGGAAGCCAGCCAGCTCGGTCTCATTTGCAGGCACGCATGAGGCCCCATTGTATGTACACTGCAGCCTGTGGTTTTATTTGTCCGACTCCAATCAAATCTGCTTATACTGGCCGCGATGCTGGTCTTTTTTTTTTTCGCGATGCTGGTCTTGTGCTCTGCAGTTATCTGTGTTCTTGTCATGGCAACTTGCCTCATTTGCAGGTACTCCTACGTGGTTAGATGGCCTTCCCTGGATGAGGATGATAGCTGTTGCTGTCTCTTTTCTTCTTCTTCTTCTTGTATGGTGTCAATTTAGTTAACGGTGAGTGTACTACTAGCAAGGATACCATTTGTATTCTGACCACTGCTTTGACTTGTTCCACATTCCTATGTTTGGTTGCTTCCCTGGCTGTGCAAGAAAGAATAGAAAGACGCACACCGCCACAACCCCAGCAGCCACCAGTTTCAGCTCGGCAACGCCACAAGGCTATATACTACGCTTCGTCGTGTGCTGTCGTCTGTTGTGTTCATGTCCAGTGAGTGGCGTTATTATATTAAGCTTTATGCCCCGACCTTGGTATCCATCAACGGTCAACCTCTACTACTTATTTCCTAACCACTCCACGTCCCATTCTTGCAGAGCAGAACACGCGCGTACAGAGTACATGGTCGTGGCCCTGGCCGCCCTGCCGAACCGCCGTATCTGTGTACCGACTACCGGTACGGACATGACAGACGGGGAGGGATTAGCATTTAGCAATAGCAACCGACCAGGCCCATGGCCATGCACTGCCGCCCGCAGCGACTGACCATGCCTCGCCGTCGCCAACCAACCGCGCTTGGCGCAACGGCCTTGTAGAGCAGCAGTAGGTGACCGTGACGACGACGACGACGGGGTCTTGTTTGGAGGCACGCGATGCTTGGCATGCACGCACGCTAGAGAGAGTAGCTTAAGTGCTTAACAAATAACAATCCCGTAGTTGAGTGGTAGTAATAACAGGTTTATAAACTCCTTATATTACACAAAGCCGAACGCGCAGTAATCCGCGGCGTAAACGTGGCCTCCGCGTCGCGATCGCCCGGCGAACCACTCCGCCGGCAAACGGAGCAGAGTGCCTGACAGCAGCCGCTGATGCTGCCTGCCGACAGCACGCACGCGCGACGTGCCCCCACCCAACCCGCCCACGAGGCCACACGACCCATGCCTTGCCGACGCGACGCGGCCGGGTGCGCTCCCCTCCCCGGCGCTCTGATGGCTGATGGCTGATCTGACCTCCGTCCGACGCGACAGCGGCCCACCACAACACAAGGCACCACACAACCCCCGTCGCGGTCGCGGGGTCAGTCGTCGTCAAGACGCCTCAGCCTCACGGGGAGGCGGGCGTCGGCCCGTTGCCCGTTGCCCCTTCCTTGCCAGGCGGATGGCGGACGGCGACGTGCAACCGAAACAGCAGGCCGCGCCCCCCACGCGCCCGACGCAAACCACTTGCAGCCTCTTCGGTTGGCTGCTTCGTACGTTTATACGAGAGAGAAGTACTGGCTGTTTCGTATAAACAGTGTCCATGTGAGAGGGCTGCCCACTTGGTGTGGTCTGCGTGTGGGCGTACGTGTACTTGCTGCTCCAAGATCATCAAAGTGGTTGAGCCGCCGAGCTCGGCCGGCGTCGGCGCCAACCAAGCCCAATGCCCCAATCCCTGCTCTGCACCGCACCGCACGCAATGATTCCAGGCTGGGACCGCCGGCGCACTGGCGCCAGGGCATCGGCGGAGGCGAATGATGATGGGATGCCTGCGACTGCGAGAACCGGATGCCCCTGCCGCGCGGCGTCGCCCGGTGGGCGCCGGACGCGCCACGGTCTACACCGCACAGCTCGGAATCACGACGAATCCACCTGCACTGGACTGGATGGAGGCTGGATCGGATGCGAATGCGATGCGAGCCTCACGGCGAAGTCGAGCACCGCGCGCGGTCCGCGGGGGTATCGATGCTGATAAGAATATACTACGTCCTTGTTCCCTTCCGACGGCTGCAACCGATCGCCCGGCGAATCGTCTCGTCGAGACGCTGTTGCATTGCAGCAGACGTGCCGGCCTCATCCCCTCCCCTCCCCTCCCCTCGTCGGCCTAACCAGCCGTCTCACTGGACTCGTAGTGTGCCTGCCGATGAGCACCATCCATGGCCATGACCACCACCCTCGCTATCGCCGGCGGATGCATATTGATGATGGCAACGACGGCATGGATGAAGATGAGAGACCAACAAGAACAACAACACATGAGTGCTAGCTCATGAGAGCCGAGAAACAGGTGCGCCTGGAAAAATCGAGTTGGCTATGGATGAGTGCCGAGAAAAATCGAGTTTATATTGTTTTGCCATAAAATTGACCAAACAAAAAAATCATGACAAACAAAGCTCAGTCTAGTTTATAGACATACAGACAGACGATGAAACGACCCCATATCAGAGTAGAAATGAAGCTGTTGATGATGAGTTAGCCATAGCCATCTGATGAGTTGATGAGTAAAAGTAAAATCATACAGAGGCCACTAGTTGACCTTCTCAGAAGCTAAAAATCAAGGTCGTCGTCACGATCTCTCACGTCACACATAGTAGAAATTTACTATCATCATCATATCATATCCTTATACCCCAACAAAAGCAAGAAGAACCATGCCGTCAACTCGTCATGTACCACCACTAAATTAATTTAAAACTGCAACAGGAGGATGAGGAGAAGAGAAGCACTCCATTTCCTTGCACTGATCAGGTTCCAGTCAGGCAGGTCGGCCGCAAAACCCACACCTGAGCTGAGCAGAGCAGGAGGACGCCTCGGCGCCGCGACCGTGTCACTGTCACGGGAGGTTGAGGAAGAGGCTGGCGGGGTCGGTGTCGGCGAACCCGGCGCTGGCCCAGCACGTACCGAGGTCGAACGCCGCGGGCCACACGAACGAGTCGTCCTCCAGCACCGCCTTCCCGGCTGCGGAGGGGAAGTCGGAGAGCCCGAGCCCGAGCGCGACGGCCTCCTCCGCCCCGGGCTGCAGCAGCAGGTGCGTCAGGGAGTCGGAGTCCTCCTCCGCAGCGGGGGCCGCCGCCGCAGCAGTCTCCGTAGTGATCTCGCTCGCGCCGTCGGTGGTGGTGGTGGTCGTCTTGGCGGAGTCAGCGGCGGCGACGGGGTCGGTGGCAGCACTGGCGTCTGCGGCGGCGCCGGGTTCCGGGGCCGGCGCCACGACGCGTCGCTTCTTGCTGGCGGGCTTCTTCTTGGGCGGCTTGTTGTTGGCGTCTGCTGCGGCCGCGTAGGACGACGTCGACGAGGAGGGCTTCTTGCGGGTGCCTCCTCCGACGGGGACGTTGCGCAGCGTGCCGCCCTTGGTCCAGTAGCGGCGGCAGCCCTTGCAGAAGTGGCGCGGCTGGGAGGTGTTGTAGTTGTTGTAGTAGCAGAACTTGGTGTCCCGCGACGCGCACCGCGGGCACGGGTCCCCTCCCTCGACGCCCTCGGCCACCTTGACCGCCCGAGCCTCCTGCACCGGCGCCGGCGCGTACCCCTTGGGCCGGCGGAGGTCGACGCCGGCGAACTGGTGCTGCTGCTGCGCCGGCCGGCGGCCGGGCTCGGCCGACGCTTCCTGCATGCGCGACGGCGCCGTCGTGCCTGGCTGCGATGCGCGCGGGCCCGGGGCGTATAGAGAGAAGGAGAGGGGGAGCGGAGGGAGCGCAGCGGGCGACGAACTGCGAGACACGAGAGGGGAGTAGAAGGCAGGGGGGCGGTTGCCGCCGGGGGTGGCTTTGCCTTCTCTCTTATGGTCGCGGCCGCCGTTACGGAGGATGGCGACGTGCTCACGCCACCCATCCGTTGCCAGGACGCGGGTGGGTCCCACGTAGCAGGCAGGGAGGGGCGGGAGCCCACGCCGCGTGACGTGAGGGGGGCGGCGCGCTGCTGCCTGCTGCGAATCGACGCGACCTCCCGTGGGCCCGCCGCGTCAGCGCTAGTGGCCAACCCAGCCAGCCCCGTACAGCAGCAGGCGGCCCATCGGTTTGACGGGACCCCCGGCCGGGCGATGGCGATGGCGACGGGACCCCCGGCGGCCGCCGTGCCGTACGGGCGCGCGGACTCTAGCGCGGTCGCCCGGCGACAGCGGCCGGGCGCCCGCCCCCGGCTGTGCCGTGTGATGAGTGACGACGTGTCGGCGCGACATAGGCTGATCCGGCTCGTGGCCCGCGTGTCGGTGATGGTGTGGCTGCGGGAGCGGGGCTATGCGGCGTGTCGGCCACCGGCGGTTGGGTCGGGTGGTTCTGGGGCGCGCCACGTCAGGCCAGGGGCACGAACAGAAACGCTATGCAACACACATGTGTTTTAACATAAAAAAAAACACATGAATTTTTTTATCTCTCCCTCTCTCTTTCTCACCGGCGCGCACACGGCGAGCGCGCGGCAGCGGAGAACCAGCACCAGCACGCGAGCGAGCGAGCACGGCGGCCGTCAGGCGAACGCACACTGGCACGCGAACGTGCAACGCGGGCGAGCATGGCGCGGCTCCGACAAGTGGACGCGGCGGGCGAGCATGGCGCGGCTCCGGTGAGCGAACGGCTAGCATCCTAGGAGAAGCGTCGAGCGAGGCAAAGGCGGAGACGAGCAGCCTGGGTGCCGGCGGCGGCTACCTGTAGCGTTGGCGGCGGCGGATCTGTGATTTGTCCTTTCATAGAAAAAAAAATTATTTCATGTGATCTGTGGATCTATGATCTTGTGATTGTCTGAAGGTAGAAGAAGGCTGAAGTTAAAAAAAAGGTAAAGGCCGTTGAATGTTAATAGTATAAAAAATTTATGTGTTAAAATTACATTAAACATACGAGTGTATAATAGACAGACTGGCTACAAACATCGGTCTTGGGCGGGAGGGGATGCTTACGTTGCGCGACGCGCTAGGCTAGGTTTTTTTTTTTTGGCCACCAGGGGTCCCACTAGTGGAGACGCCTGCGTTGGCTGGTGCCTGCCTACCTAATGCCTACTGGCTACTGGGTACTGGCTCGCCGCTCCCCTGGTGCGTGCCTCCTGCGCCGTGGGGCCCAACCACCTGCTCCTGACAACGGGAAGCCTCTCTGCTCTCTCTACTCTGTACTCGTACGTAAATTGTTCTCCATGCAATGGAGTAGTAGGATTTGGCCAGCCTCCGCCGGTCGGCGCTGCTCATTCGTCGGAGGACGGAGGTAACGGAGCTGCAAACCGTGGCTCCTTGAAAAAAAACTGTGTCTACTCTGTAACCGAGTGTTTCAGAGGCTCTTTGACACCCAGAGTGTCAACCGGCTCAAAAACACTTGTAATTGGTCTGGCCATAGAAACACTCGATTCTCGTAACCACGTGATCCAAATCAAATGATCAAAATTAAAGCAAACAAATAGAATATATGAAATAAAAAAATCATCAGATTATTTCTATGAAAACCAAATTGGCACATTTGAAAAAGAGCCAAAAAAGATCAGAGAAGTGTTCAAGTAATCCAAATGACCATTCTCATTTATAAACAACCAATTTACACCAATTAAACATAGAACTTACACCCAAATCGGAATAGTAAAATATGATTCAGTAAGATGTAATATGCAACTAGGAGCGTACTCCATGCCACGGTCACCGCCGGCAACGCGAAGGAGAGGGGAGGAGGAGAGGGGTTGTGGTTACCTGTCCCTATCGGGCCTCTCCGCTCCCGCGTTGCTTCGGCCGTGCGGGACGACGTTGGTCCTCCTCCGGTGGGATGGCAGGGTGCAGGGCGCGCGGTGTGGGTGGCGTCGGGACGTGGGGGGCAACAAGGGTGCGTAGCGCCACGTCCGCGGCGAGGTTGACGAGGCGGCAGTGCGGTGGGGGAAGAAGTTGCGGTCAACCAGGGGAGACACAGAGAGTCGGATAAGGTTGAGGAACCGCGGCACCCTAGGTTCCGCCACCAATCGGTTGCTGCGTTACCACTCTTCATCCGTATCGTTGAAGCGTCATCCAATGGCTAGGAAAATCGAGTGATGGGAAGGTCGGAAACACCCGAGCAAGCGATAGCTTTAGCGAAAAAAAGACTCTGGCTCCTTGCGTCGTGGAGAAACGTTTCTCCATTTTGTCGCCGTTTGGTGTGCCTCCGCCGTCGGTCGGAGCTAGAGCTGGAGCGCCACCAAACATGGGCTTGAATTGTTGTGTTACAATATGCGTCTTGTTTGTTTGGGCTTGTTTGGCTTATAAGTCGTAATTTTTCAGCCAACGAGCTGTATTTTTCTCTCACACCAAATTAACCAATAATACTTTCAACCATGACTTATCAGTCAAATGAGCCCAAACGAATGTGGCGACGGCAGGCTGCCGTGGCCGATCTGCCAATGCCCAATGGTGTGAGGCTCCGTGGATGAGCACGGCCTAAAAGCTCGTACATAACTGGGCCCTTGGATGCTCGGATCGGACGGCTTGACAAACACCCCTTGACAATTGACATGGCCATCCGTAGGCATGAGCAGGCTGCGACAAGAAGTAACCAAGCCCACGCGATCCGATCCCCGGGCCTGACCCTGACCTGACCCATCACAAGGTGACTGTGAAACATGCGACGAATCGCACACAGCAGCAGCACAGGAGAGTCCCCACCTCCACCTGCCGGCCGGCCGCCCGCCCGAGCGCGCACATCCGCACATGGCGTGCCCCGCGTGGGCGGTGGTCGCCGTCGCCGCGCGGGGTGGGACCCCCGGCCCCGGCATGGAACCGAACCCCGCCGCGCCGCACCACGCATGGTCCGGCGCATCACGCAAGGAATCGCGTCCGTCGCCCACGCGCGCAGACCTGTGCCGTGCCGCGTCTCCGTCTGGGGAGTGGGGACTGGGCCACTAGGGGTGGAGGGTGATTGGACGGCGCATGAATTTCGGGCAGGTCCGCGGCGCCGCCATGCCACGCGGAAGAACGGCGGAAGGCTCACGCACGTCGGCATATGCACGGCCGGGGACGGACAGGCTGCCTCCCCCATCCGCCCTCCGTCCCGTCCGCACGGGCACCACCATCTGTGGAGGAGAGCGTTGGCGCGAGGGATCCGCTGCCGAGAACGACACGCATCGCACTGGATTCCCTTCGCTTCGCTTCCACTTGGTGCACGTGCGCCTGGCTGACCTGGCTGGTTCCAAAGTCCAAGCTGCATCCATGATCATGATCCATCCATCGATGCATTCCCATCCGTCTGGAATCGGCCTCGCACTTGCTCTCATCTCGGCGCGCCGCGCGATCATTTCATTGCCATGTTTGTTTGGCTGATAATCATGGACTGATTTATTATGAGAGAAAAATACTGTTTGTTGGCTGAAAAAGTATGCTCAAGCGAACAGGGCGCATATTCATATCTGATCCTGATCGCCGTGATCGGTAATGGAATGGAATTATGGGCCGATGGCTTCCCTCCCTCCATTATTCGATCGCGCCAGCCAGATGGAGCGACCGCCACTGCGCTCCTCCCATGTCCCATCCCATCCCATTCTGGCGGATCGGCAGATGCAGTCGCAGGCACCGGGGCGGCTGGGCGGGCGACGTGGCGCCAAATTCTCCACGAGACACTCGACGTGAGGCTTCCAGTTCGGCAGTTCCACTTCCACCCGGTGCCGACCGAACCCCGCCGACGACGGCGCACGCAACGCGACCACTCCAGGTGGATGAGAGGCGCAGGCGAGCACCTACCTGTTGTCTTCTCTTCTGTTCCATTAGGCACGTCGCGGAGCTGGCAACCAACCAGCCGGCCACGATCAGAGAGAGATACGTAGAGCCGGGTGCTCGAGGTTCTACTAGGAGGAATTCAAGGAGTGGGCGCGCACTCAGCGCTGGTGAGCGTCGAGCAGAGTCAAATTCCGATCAGATCACGGGGCAGGAGGATCATGTCTGGCGCGCACTCCCGGCCCCTCTGCGTTACTTTGTGACAAATTCCGATGAAAGCATATCCCGCCCTATTTACTTGGCTTATAAACCGTATTTTTTCAGTCAACAAATAGTATCAGTCAACGGTACTTTCTGTCGTGACTTATCAGCCAAGCGAACATGACACCGTGCCGGCAACTTAGCAGGGAGTGAATCGGAGAAAAATCACATGCTTTCTTCCAAGGGTTCCAGTTCCGGTATCAGGAGGAGGAGCAGGAGGTCGTCCCAGGGAATCATCATGCGATGCGAGATTTCTGCCGTCCCGGCCGTGGAGGCGTGGACTCCACTCGGCACTCGCCAAGTCTCAACACACACATCAATGCCAACACGGCACGGGTTGGTCTGCAGGGCACGCTGGCGCTTCCTTCCTTCCGTGCTAGTGCGCCACACGGCAGACGCCACTCCGCTTGCGTTATTGCCTTGGCTGCCTGCTACTTGCTTCAGTGTGTGTGACAGCGCGGCGGCAGTGCCATCTTCAGAGAGAAAGAGACGGCTGCACAGAAGGCAACTGGTAACAGCACAACATTTGTGCCCTTTTCGCTTATAAGCCGTACTTTTTCAGCCAGCGAACAATATTTCTCACCACAAATCAGTCAATAGTAGTTTCAGCTCACGACTTATCAGCTAGTGAACAGATGTGTTTAACTTTGGCGCAGCCAGCAGCTGCACTGCACTGCACAGTGGCCGGCGAAAGAACCGAACCGAGCATGAGAGGAACATGTATGTACGCTACGCGACAAGGGAGGTGTCACGGAGGAGGAGGGGATGGAACCCCACCTTCTCATACCCAACAATGGAAGCCTACGCTATGAACAAGAGCAGCTTCACAGTCTACGACGGAAGCAGCAGCGGCAGCCTAAGCACTAGACGCAATCGAATCAATCAAAGAATGCAGCAGCAGCAGCATAAGCAGTCGCGTGTCATTGCCTGCCCGTCACAGGAAGGCTTAGCATACACGCAGCATCCATCGAGGCTCCCAATTCTCGTTGTGGGTTGGGTGACCGCCAAGAAAAATTCTCTTGCCGTCGGTGATGGCCAATGAGCAGCCGGCGGCTGTTATCTCTCTGATCTGTGCCGCTTAGTTGCCCGCGAGTGTTCTCTAGTGCCGTCCCCTGACCTTATTAGCTGCTGCCCAACGTCTTCTTGATCGCGAGACGCTTGGTTGATGAGATCCTGCGATGCAAAGGGTTGGGTTTCTGTAAGAATTTTGCGAGGAAAAGCAGCAAAGACTACAGCAATGTTTTGAAAATGAAACCAAATATATATATATATATATATATATATATATATATATATATATATATGCGCTCTAGATAGATGACTAGTAGTACCTTGGAAGTGGAGTTTGACCCAGGATTGCACCTCTTGATAGCCCGCTTGCCAAGATTGATCTGAACCGAGATGCTAGCTTCTGACAAATCTATGCCCGAGTTTTGCAGCGCAAGATTCAAGGTAGTAAGCAAGCTGTTATAAGAGGGGGCAAGATTAGAATCAAAACGTTTAACTGAGAAACTACACAGAATTCAAGTGCTGCAAATGAAAGAAACTGCATTCCGAAAACAGAGCACATAAAAAATACAGATGATTTGGTAAACCTTCGAAAGAAAAGAAATTGTTTTGTTAGTATACACTGATGGCACATACCCTTGGGAATATTGGCTTGACAAGCTGATTGTCCCCTCATCTATTGCCAGTTCAGGGTTGTTCGGCATTCCGTTGTGGCCTGCCAAGTCGTCTGAGGGTGATGGATTTGTCAATTGCGTTGCTTTCTGGGAGGCGACATTGTCTGCACATGAATAAAAACATATTCCATTAACTACAGAAACAATCAGTAGTTCTAATGAAGAGGAGTACAAAAACTGTTGCATGTTGTCAAACGGTAACTGGGTCAAGAAAGCCATACCTGTAACATTATTGGGAGTTTCATCTTGTTTGTAAGGCACACAACCCTTTGGTTCCACCCGTTCCTGTGCATCTTCAAATGCACCTGCACTGTTAAGGTCCTCAGGCTTTGCACCAAAAGGAAACCGTGGGGAGGAGCCATTTTTTATGACTTCTGATGGATCAGAGGCCGGATCTCCGCTTATTTCGTCCTTGTTCTGCAGCACATGGATAAGATGCAGTCAAGGGGCTGGTTAAAATCTCACCCTCAGAAGCCTCACCGTGCAGAAAGTAAAGTCCTGTTGATAGCTTACCTGTGAATTTTTCCAGGAAGACCGGAAGTAGATGTTAGACCACGGCATGATCTTTGCATTTTCTTGGTTCCACTCTGGCTGTGAAGCCTCGTGCTTTTCTACTTTCTCTTGCAAAAACCTTATGTATTCAATGACCTGCATTAAAGCAATTGTCAACGGATTAGTAAAATACCAGATGTACAGCAATTGTCGACGGATTAGTAAAATATCAGATGGGAACAGATTATGCTGACGTAACTGCTGCAATGTCTTCGCCTTAAAAGAATAAAATGCTTACCTCTAGAAGAAATGATGCTTTGTCTCGCTTTTGATCATTTTGTGGCAAAATTTCTCTAAGTATTTGAAACCTGTTAAAGGATTATAGGAGTAGAAAAGTTAGATCGAATGCATGTTTAGTGCTCTGAACAGTGCTTATTTCTTAGTGCCATACAATAATATCTTATCGGGGAAAAAAACAGAACATTTCAAAGCACAATACATATGGAGCTAAAGATTCACTTGTGTTAGCATTCTTCAGGGTCAGCAGCACATGGTTTCTGAACACAGGCCCATAATATCTCAATCCCCAGCTGAGAAACAGACCCCCTAACCACATCTACTACACTATCTATCCTGGTTCTACAGAAACAGCAGAGCCACCATCATCATCACTGCATGTCTGCATCCCAGAGGTAACCTATCGGACTTTTTCCCTGCCAAACCAAATAATAACTGCAGCATACTTGTATCCTCATGTGCCAGATTAGAGACTACACGTGCAAATCGAGCTGTATCCAACTGACTTACCATAACAGCTCTGAGGAAAAGCTTGACATCACCGCGTTAAACAGCGAAAATGTGCTTCGTAGCACGCACGGCTACGGCCAACTATTTCTGAATGAACTAGAAAAGCTGCGTCAGCCCACCTGTCATTGATCTTGCTGCGCCTTCGCTGCTCCGTGGCGGAGTGCTTAGAGCGTGGCGTGTTGGGTAGCTGGTCCGTCCCGGCGCTGCCGCTGCAGCTCCCGCCCTTAGCCTCCACCCTGAGGTCTGGAACCCAGAAACAACACAAATAAAGAGCACCAAAACCCCGTCAGAATCGCCTCTTTTCACCACCGAACCGCCCAAACGGCTCCAGCAACACGAACCAGAGAGCCAGATTTAGCATAATTGAGGTGCGCTACCTTTGAGCGAGGAGGAGACCTCGCGGCGGGCGGCGAGGCCGTCGTCGTCGTCGAATCCCGCGCCGCCGCTGGATCTGGAGACGGCGTCCATGAAGCCGCCGCACGCCTTCCGCTCCGGCGGCCTCTGTTGCTGGGGCTGGGGTTGCTGCGGCCTGGCGGAGGCGACGGCGACGCAGCGCGCGGCGAAGGGGAGCGACCACGGGTGACCTGCCAAGTCGACAAACAGACAGAGCGGAAAGCACACGCCTTTAGCTACTCTTTTATCAGCTTTGTCTCTGGCGTTTGTTGCTCGAATGATCGGAGGTTTGCACGGTGAACCGCATGTTCAGTTAAAAACAACAACAAAATAATGATAAGTTTTTCTTTGCAGTAGTATAATGGAGTACCATGCAAGCTTTTCAAAGAAAAATGTAACCCGCGTTACTTTGCTTTCGTGTGAAGTCAAATTCCTCTCTGTTTCATTTTTTTTTAAAATAATATTCACACCTACTTTCTCCTTTCCAAATAATAAGTCATGTTGCTCTTACTTCTAGAGCATCTCCAAGAGTTTTCAAAACCTACTCCCAACCTTTTTTTTGACAAGATTAAAAAAAACTGCTCTATAACAATTCTCTATCTTAACTCCCAATCTTGCGGCACTTTGAAAAATTGATTGAGTCACGCGAAATATACGCGCCTATCGACGGCCAATATGAGGTGAAAGGATGTGGGAAAAAAAGATATAGTTCCCAATACAAATGTACAGAGAAAAAGAAAATATAAAAGCGGTTAAGGTGATTTAAAAATAGTCCAGGATTCTTGATGTAAAATTATTTTTTATATTTTAGGAGCGAGATTTTAGAAACGGTTAGAGAAGGTCAACAAGTATACTTTCAACTTTTTTTAGCCACTTGGAAAAGTTTTACCAATTGATTCCGTGCGAACTATTGGAGATGCTCTTAATACATGTATCTAAATATACTGTATATATGGCAACAGCAACGTATTTAGAAAAAGCTAAAATGACTTATAATTTAGAAATAAGTCGCTATTACTTTAACTAAATGCACAAGCAAAACGTATTTTACGCATAATTCAATAAAACCAATTTGATTTTGTAGATATCGGTGGATTTTTCTGTAGTTATATAATCTGAAAATTCTTGTCTTTATGGTGTACAATTCCAGGCCGAAAAAATATAGAGATGTACTATATACCTATAAAAAGCCTAAAAAAACAGAGGTACTGTTCACGTTCTTCACGACGCGGCCCATAAAATTAGGCCTACCAGCAGCAGGGCCCACGCCCAAGGGTCCACGCATGCATCCTGCGGCGACCAGACCTACGAGTCTACGACGAGGTAGCGTCGCCCACCCTAGAAAAACGCGGCACGCCTTTGGCACACCGGGGGAACGGTGGCACACTGGCACGCACCGCACCATCCGCGTCAGCGCGCCGGTGCGCCACGCGACGCGACTCCACGCCTGCTCCGGCGTCAACTCGCCACCCGACCTTTCAGCCAAAGCAAAGCAAGCACAGCTACTAGAGGAGAGGAGAAGAGGCCGCGCGCTCGTGGCGTACCTCGAGGGTCCGGCTGCCCCCAGAGCGCGAAGGGCTGCGGCTGCTGCTGCTCCTGCTTCACGGCGGCTGCCGCACCGCCGTGGCTGATGCTGAACGTGCCGATGCCGCCGGGCAGCGCGTGCTGGTGAAGCACATTCTCGGCGGGGGCTTGCGGCGGCGGAGACTGCGGTGGTGGTGGCCTCTCCAGCGGCTGCAGGAAGTCGTGCGTCTTGAGGAAGAAACCTGCACGCACGTGCACCGGCCTTGGTTTTCATTCAGATTTCAGAATTGAAGACCAGTTCGTTATCCGCAATCACAGAGTAGCAACACAACACCCACGGTAAAAAAAAACCCCCCAAAAAAAGAAGAAGATAAGCTTGTAGAGATTCGATGGTTTGGTTTTGGGCACGAGCACGAGCACGAAAACCTCGCGAACAATATGGTGAACTCTCACAAATTGAGTTTACATGTTTTCGGAATTTTGAAATGGAACATGGACGAATTGGCAGCGGCGCAGAAAAGGTCGTGCACGGCTCCTTGCGCATCTCCAGCACCAGACGCCCCCATCTTCTTTGTAGCTACACGTGAGCATTTCTTTGTTCCGTTGATCTGTCGTTTTCTACTTTTTCTTCACGCACGCCCCGCCCCGTCCACGCAGCAAGCAAGCAAAATTAAAACCAAAAGGTAGTAATTCCCAGAGGTTAATTTCGTAGAACAAACATACTATAGCAAACACACAAGCATCGACTGTTTAACCCCATGCTCTGGACCCTGGAGGAGCAGTCGAAATTAACCGAAATTGGACAGAAATCTTACGAGGACGATCCGCTGTGCAAGCGTCTGAATTGTGTTTGACGAAGAGAGACGGAGCAGACAGAGAGCATGCACGGAGGGAGAGAGATGGTGAATCACAGGCAAGCAGGCAGGCACCGGCACGCACCTTGATGAGACGGAGGCGTCGGCGTCGGCGCCGGCGCCGGCGGCAGCTTGGACTCCTGGAGCAGCGGCAGTGGGAGCGGCAGGGCGGCGTCCTTGGCGGCGGTGTAGAGCGAGAGGAAGTCGTGCGTCGCCTTATCCCCTGCATTCGCGCGCGAGGCCGAAACATAACAACAAGCACCGCAGCGGTCAGCGCAACTCCAGTCCGAGCACCGCCGGGAGCGGGAGGAATCGGATCGCCGATCCCGGCGCCCGCCCGGCCAGCATGCATAGACATAGACGAGGACCCCAGAACAGAACAGAAATGGCGCGCTGTGGGAATCGCGAGCGGGCGGCGTACCTTGAAGCCCCATAGCCGCGCATTACACCGCTGTCCTGCTGCGTCGCGCGCGTCGGCGGTCGTACTCGTAGGAGCGAGGAGCGGGTAGAGGGAGATCTGGCTGGAGCTCCCCTTGGCGCTGCGCTCCGGCTGCCTGGCCTCTCCTCCTTTTCTTGCTGCTGCTGTACCGGGGACGCTTTATACGGCCGGCGGGCGGCATCCATCCATCCTCTATTCTTCTCTATCGGCTCTCCGTGACGACTGGCGACGGCGTTAGCGCGACGGTCGTTAGCGGTGGGGGAGGGCGGCAGGCTGCTGGTGTGGTGTGGGCCTGTGGTGCCGTGGTGGGGCCGTGGGGGTGGGGGGATCCAGCCCAGCACGTGCCCGACGTGGGTTGACCGCCGCGTTGACGTGCTTTGCAGTAATTCTCTTCCAAACTGGAGGAGGACACGGCGGTTGTTTTTTTTAGTATACTCCTACTCCTCCCTAGTGCCACTCCAGTAGGAAGAGATTAATAAATTCGTGGGGGTCGCCGCTATCGCTAGCTAGTTAGTGAGGATGAGGGGACGTGATTATGACCGCCCTGATAGAGATTAGACACTGGGCTGTGCATGTGTGGACGCTTGGTAACAAACGTGACGCGTGCGTCGTAGCGTGTGTTTATTCGCCCTGTTCCTTTCGCTAAAACGTAGCTTATACTGACATTTACGCTGATTTGTTGTGAGAGAAAATATCGTTTGTTCATTCATCGTAAGTATTATCTCCGTCCTAGCTAGAATGCAATTCTAGCACACTACCACATTTTAGTACATTAAATTTAACCAATTATATATAAAAAAAAGTATCAATGTTTATAATAACAAATAAATATTATTATTTAATTATAATATATATTTTTATAATAAATTATTTAAAATCATAAATATGAATATTATTCACTAAAAATTTAATCAAACTTGAATAACTTTTCGTGGAATGCAACCATAATTGCATTCTTTGTCGGACGAAGGTAGTACAGTTGTTTATGCTGGAGAAGGACACGCGCGTTTGGATGATGGCGTCCTGGCAGTGGCAGGCATGTCATGCATTGATCACACGACAATCTTGACCTTAGAGGATGGAAATTGGACGTCTGAAAACACTAGCAGGCTAAGGAAACACAGATCAAACGGGGCATGTAAACATGCATGCGATGGGCCGGGTTCATTGGCCGGCCGGGATGCAGCGGAGGAGCGGCCTCGAGCTGCCAGCTGCGCGATCGACGAGTTCATGGTCCAAGCTAGCTAGGCCAAGAGGGCGCTGAGCAGTGAGCTCCGTATCGTACTCGTACATGCCATGGCCGGTAGAGTTCCGTGTTGATCAGGTGTAGAGCAGATCACGACGGCGATGGTCGAGAGGAAAGGGGTTGGGTCACGTGACGGTTGGAGGGGCCAGCCGGGATGGGTCGCTCCGTCCCCGCGGCGGCACAAGAGGCCGAAGATTGCGGGCATCCCGTGGATGGAGATGGGAGGGCCGGTCATGCACATCTGCTGCTGCATGTGCCAGTCCGCGCCAGATTCCACAGGGCCGGCCACTCCTTTTCTTTCCTTTCCGCCTTTTGTCTAACGCTAACAGCGACCTCCCTCCCTCCATGGCGTGCGTCGGGCCGCTATGCTTGGATGATGGATAGTCTCGTCTCCCCTGTTGCTGTTGCCATACGTACGTGCCGTGGCTTTAATTTCCCCGTGCTTGCTGTGAATGAATGTCATATATAAGCAAGCAGCATGACGCCGGCATTTCATCACCAGGGCTGGCTGGCCTGGCCACACCATGACCTGTGAAGCCGAAAGCCATTGAGATAATTTCTTATTTGATACCGGGAAAATGAGTAGTTTTTTTCTTGGCTCTGAAATTTTCTTCATTCCCTATTTGACATTCACTTCAATTTTCATCCCTAATTTGACACTACCGTCAAATCCGTTAGCTAACGGTGTTAACTGGCTGTTAAAAAGATGTTTTTGCCCCTAGAAAAAAAAGCGGCGAAGCAAATTTGAGAGGAAAAAAAAACTGCGCCGCCTCGATGCATGCGCCCACTGCAAAAAAAAGCGCATGTTTTTTTTTCTCTCAAATTTGCCGTCGCCGCTTTTTTTCTAAGGGCAAAACGTCTTTTTAACAATTTTAACACCGTTAGCTAACAGATTTGACGGTAGTATCGAATTAGGGATGAAAGTTGAAGTGAATGTCAAATAGAGAACGAAGAAAATTTTAGAGCAAAGAAAGGAACGACTCATTTTCCCAATATTAAATAAGGAATTCTCTCAAAGCCATTAGCCGTGAGCTTACCGCCAGTGTAATAATTGGTGTAAAAAGGTCGTCCACTCGTACTCCTGCATCCAGAGATGGAGTACGTGCGTTACGGTACACTGTAGATCCGATCCGGTCCGATGATGGATGAGCCATGGGTTGGATCTAAAGATGTCAACGGGTCCGTTCTCGATTCTCTGACGGAGAATTCACCCGTTAGGGGACGTGATGGTATAATAGCATGTTCGGTTGGCTGGTTTGTATCATTGCTGGTTCATGAAGAAGTACTGCTAGCTGGTTTGTCTGAGAGAAAAATACTATTCCGGCTAGAAATTTACGATCGTTTACGACAAGTCACAGCCAAACGAACAGGCTGTAAATCTCCCCACATGGGGAATTAAACAGGGAAAAAATCGTCCCATCGGGTATGACGGGGGCGGGGATGGTACACATGCCCTCGTCCATGTTCCCCGCGGGGACCCGAAATGTTTAAGGCCCATCTGAGAAGGCCCAATTCCTATGTACATATATAAGGCAATTTGTAACCCTACACTTATTCTTTCCATTTGTTCCCAAATTCTCAATCCCCTCCCCCGTCGCCCCCAGCCGCCGTTGCCTCACGCCACACCCAAGCAGCAACCATGGAGGCAGAGCCCCCTTGTCTCCACCCGATGCCGCGGGCGGCCTCTCCCCTCCATCCGGTGGCGGCGGCGACCGCGACGGCGCCCCACCTCCTCCACTCTTGAAGCCCATGGCAGATCCAACCGGCGGCGCCCTCCTCACCTACCGTCGTGGATCTAATGGTGGTGGTGGAGATGGCAGTGATGTGGTGGTGCAAATCCACAGCTTCGACCTCCTCCGCGTGACCGGTGGCGGCGTGTTCCTCCACGCGACCGGATCTCTCCATGGCTAGCAACGGCCGCGTGCCCGCCCAGCTCCCAAGGCGATTGGGGGTGGCGGCGCCCTCCTCGGCGCCACCTGAGGCATTGTCCCCGGTACGGCGACCCCTAGCTCCTCCCTCGCGATGGCAGCGTGCTCGCCTAGCTCTCGTCGAGATTCCGGTGGCTCCGCCCCTCTCGCTCTCGTCGCTCGCTAACGGATGCGGGGATGGGGATCCCCGCGGGTATTAAATCCCTGAGCGGGGACGGGGATGGGGAAGAAGTGCTCCCCACGAGCCTTCACGGGGACGGGGACGGGGAAAATTTGCCCCCGCGGGGACGGAGATGGGGCAGTAACCCCTGACGGGGAATTCCCCGTTGACATTTCGACTTGGACCGGTCCATCGATCGAGCCGGCCTGGCTGGCCGTTGGCGACCGAACGAACGTGTGCTCCCGCCGGCCATAGCACTTCACGTGACCGACCGCTCTCTGCAGCGCGCTTCCCTTTTGTTCAGCCACGCACGCGTGCGTCACGCAACAAAGGGCACCCAAGATTCGCCGATGCGCCGGTCGGGTTGGTAACGCAGTAACGCCTGTCGCCGCCCTGCCCTACCGGCCGGCCCAGTACACAGCACTCCCCCCCCCCTCTTCTCTCTCTCCGAGTCACGCCTCATGGAGGCACATGCAGTGCGTGTTCCTCGTGATTCTTACTATAACCCGTCATCAGAATTACGTATATTATTACTAGTGTTAGGACGACACCAGTACCATGCATCGGCGCACTAATCTTTTTTTTTTGTATGTTCATTCATAGTGCATGCACCAGACGGATCCATTGTTTATTTCTTTAGGAAGTACATGCATGACGATGGATGCTTTGTCACGCACAACTCGATTGATCAAATCATTTTCTCTGTTCTTTTTGTTAAAAAATGTAGGAGCAGACTCCTACTAACTCTCAACCATATAGTATTATTACCTGTGCGCATGTACAATCCGTCCTATTTAAAACGTAAAAGTTTGGGGCTGACCGGGTCAGTTTCAAATCTCGACGCCACGTCCTATTTTCCACAGTGCTGAAGAGTTCGTGCATGGACCTGAATTTAATCGCGCGCGGACAGCGACAAATAACCGGCTACTCCGCATGACACCGAACCCTCTCTATTTTTTTTCAAAAGCCAAAGAACCAAAGGTATTAATCGCCACGAAAGAAACACGTGCAGGCTCGGCTGCTCGCTTGACTTGTGCTATAGCTAGCTGTCGTGCGGAATCCAAGCTAGCTTTGCTAACGATGGTACGTGTGTCGTCCAGCCACTGTGCCAAGAGCCTACTGTCCAAGATTGTCATTTCGTAAATGGATACTACTAGGAGTACTACTCTTCCACACGTCCAGCCACTGTACTATATAGCTACTAGCTACGGCCTAGGAGGCTCCATGATGTTGACAGCTTCAAATATGATGATTGGAGGTTGAAAATAGTTTAAAAAACATATGCAAACCAAAAAACAAAATATAATTAATAAATTTGGATCGAATTGAAAAAATTGCAATATCTTGTCTTTTAAAAAAACAGCCTAGGCCAGTTTGTATTAGATTAATAAACGGGTTCAGGTCGGATTTTTTTGAGTCTCTGTGTCACTGTTTAAACCGGTCTCATCCGATTTGGCAGTCATGTTTTTTATTTAGAAACTTATTATCCAATCTCGTGAGAAACTTCGAAGTTGTTATGATTTTTTTTTGATAAAACCACCCCTAAGGATCACGGCCGATTAAGAAACTTCAAAGTTGTTATGAATTTTTTTTCGTTGTGATAAAACCACCTCAAACTCTTCCACCCCATTGTTGTCTAACATTTCTCTCGACGAGATCCG